TACGATTCATTAAATTATTAGATAAAGAAGACGATTCGTTGTACTGTTCTCGACTCTTAATCCTTGTCTAAATTCGGCCCCCCCTCCCCTCCCCCTCCTCCCGCGCGAAGCGCGGAAGCTTTTACGTTTCATTAAATCATTAGAGAAAGAAAACGATTCGTTGTACAGCTCTCGACTCTTAATCCTTGTCTGAATTCAGATAAACACATCTCGATACCTTGTCCGACCCCGCAAGCTCAGGGGATTAAGGCAATAAATTACGGTCAGATAAGCATTCAGGGACCCGCCTTAGGGTCCCTGGTGGGGTCGAGGCGGCGAAGCCGGCCCCGGAAGCTCAGGGGTTTTACCTAATTATTTTGCGACACTGGCAGGTCACTATTTGGCGTGGGGTACAGGTCCAAAAATCAGGGGTTTTAGGCATTAAATTACCGTCAGATGATCATCTAAGGGCCCGCCGTAGGGCCCTAGATGAAATCCAGGGGGCAAGGGGGAAGCTTAAGGGTTTTAGGCATTTAATCACGGTCAGATGAGCATATTTTGATGCCTCATTATTTTGTTAACACTGGCAGTTAACTATTCTCATTTTCTTGCTCTCATTCTATTTTATTTCTCTTTAATATACTTTTTCAAGAAAAGTGGGGGGAGGGGGGGCTCGAGGCTCTCGATCCCCGCCGTACCTCGTGCCCTGACATGTAGAAATCTCAAGAATCATATTTTTTTGCCTGGCTGTAAATTTAGAAATTTGTCATTTTCCAACAAACACATACAAACGTATAATTTACTAAAAAGTGAGGAAAAATTTCGGAAATTATATCATTTCAGCATTATTTGTAATCCACCGTTGTGGAATTAGAAATAAACCACGTTTGAATTTGACTTCTCCCAAGCCCCCCCCCCCCCCATCAGTACGCCAGTATCTCCTCTTTTCCTTTTTTTTCTTTCCCTTTCCTTCCTTCTCTCGTATTTGGTTTGATTGGGGGGGGGGGGGTGTTAACAGCCTGGGAGGCAAGGCCCTTTCGGCCCCCCGATCTCCTTCTTCCTCCTTTTCTTTTATTCTTCCTCTTATTTCTTTCCCTTTTTCTCCTTTTTCCTTTCCCTTCTTTTCCTTTCTTCTCTTTTCCTTTCTTCTCTTTTTTTTTTTGCTTTTTTTTTTGCCGGGGGGGGGGGGGGGGGGCAAGGCACGCTCGGCCCCCCCCCCCCCCCCCTGGATCCGCGCCTGCCGGACAGTAAGTAGACTCGTGTTCCGGCCCAACCCCGCGTGTCTTTCTTGCTCCCTCGACGAGACAACTCCACCCAACAACCCCCTCTCTCGTTTACTCCCACCCCTCCTCTATCAGGCTCTTACCTCCACTTGTTTCCTTTTTCTCTTTTTGTTTTCTTCTTCATTTTTCCTTTTTTTTCTTTTCTTTCTTTTCCTTTCTTTCCTCTCCTCCCTCTATTTCTCTCTCCTTTCTTTTCCCTTTTTTTCCTTTCTTTTCCTTTCTTTCCTTTCTTTTCCTTTTCCTATTTTATTTTCTTTTCTTTCCCTCTTTTTCTTCCCCTCCCCCTTATCTCTTTTTTCCCGACGGCAGCGCAATTTTACCGACAATATCCTGACAGGTGGGGGGGGGGGGGGGTTCGCACCCCCACACTCCCCTCTTTGGAGACGCCCCTGCTCGTATGCACTGTTTCGTTCTTGAAACACTGTTATATTATATTTACACAAACAAATTACCTTACAGAAAACATTAACATACCCAAAGAAAGTAGTCCGTCAAATGAATCATTATCAAACAAATAAATTACTCAAAAGTATACTGAGTAATAATCAACAATCATATTAAAGGATACTGATTTTAAATACAGGCATCTACACTGTTAAACAAAGTTAAAAGGTAAGTGTTACCAAGCGCGGATCAAGGGAGGGCCGAGCCCCCCAGCCAAAAAAAAAAAAAAAGGAGAGAGCGAGAAGGAAAAGAAGGGAAAGGGAAAGAGAGAAAGGGAAAAAAGAAGAGGAAGAAGAAAAGAAAAGAGGGAAGAAGGAGATCGGGGGGGGGGGACTTGCCTTCCAGGCTGTTGCCCCCCCCCCCCAATCAAAAAATAAAAGAGAAGGAAGGAAAGGGAAAGAAAAAAGGAAAAGAGGAGATAAAGGAAAGGAAAAAAGAGGAAGAAGAAAAGAAAAAAAGGGGGATATCACTTGCAATTTTTCCCGCCACCAAGTTGTGGATAGGGGAGGAAGGCCCTTGCCCCCCCCCCCAACCCCCCCCCCCCCCCGTCCCTGCTAAAAAAAAGAGAAAAGGAATGAAAAGGAAAAGAGGAGAGCTAAAAGGGAACAAAAAAGAGGAAGAAGAAAGGGAGAAAAGAAGGGGGAGATCAGTTGCGGTTAATCCCGCCAACAATGTGTGGAGCGGGTGGGGGTCAAAATGACCTTGCCCCCACCCCCAGCAAATCTAAAAGAGAGAGGGAAGGAAGGGAAGGGAAAGGGAAAGAGGAGAGAAAGAAAAAGAAGAAAAAAAAGAGAATGAAGAAAGGTGAGGGATATCAGTTGCAATTCCAACAAGGTGTAGATCGGGGGGGGGGGGGCTTTGGGGAAATAAAATTCAAACGTGGTTTATTTCTAATTCCATAACGGTTGTTTACAAATAATGGTGAAATGACATTTACATTCATGTCGGAAATTCAATTTACAACAGTAGTTGTATGCCTATTTTCTACACTCCCCCTATATCGGGCACATGTAGCGGGAGGCGGGCACATCTACAGGGAGGTGGTTATTTGACAACGTAAAACACGTAGAATCCAAAGAAAATCCATGAAAAGAAGATAAATTGATATTTGTGAAACTCAATTGTATCTTAGGAAGCTTTATTATATCCATGACACGACGGAAATTAAATATACAACACTAGTTGTATGCCTCACTACATTTCCCCTATATCGGGCACATGTAGCGGGAGGCGGGCACATCTACAGGGAGGTGCATGTTTTGATAACTTAAAACACGTAAAATCCAACGAAAATCAATGAAAATAAGATAAATTGATATTTATGAAACTCATTTGTATCTTAGGAAGCTTTATTATATTCATGACATGTCGGAAATTCAATATACAACACTAAGTTGTATGCCTTACTACATAATCCCCTATCTCGGGCACATGTAGCGGGATCGAGGCGGGCACATCTACAGGGAGGTGATTGTTAGACAACGTAAAACACGTAGAATCCAAAGAAAATCCATGAAAAGAAGATAAATTGATATTTATGAAACTCATTTGTATCTTAGGAGCTTTATTATATTCATGACATGTCGGAAATTCAATATACAACACTGGTTGTATGCCTTACTACATATCCCCTATCTCGGGCACATGTAGCGGGAGGCGGGCACATCTACAGGGAGGTGATTGTTAGACAACGTAAAACACGTAGAATCCAAAGAAAATCCATGAAAAGAAGATAAATTGATATTTATGAAACTCATTTGTATCTTAGGAGCTTTATTATATTCATGACATGTCGGAAATTCAATATACAACACTGGTTGTATGCCTTACTACATATCCCCTATCTCGGGCACATGTAGCGGGAGGCGGGCACATCTACAGGGAGGTGATTGTTAGACAACGTAAAACACGTAGAATCCAAAGAAATTCCATGAAAAGAAGATAAATTGATATTTATAAAACTCATTTGTATCTTAGGAGCTTTATTATATTCATGACATGTCGGAAATTCAATATACAACACTGGTTGTATGCCTCAATACATTTCCCCTATCTCGGGCACATGTAGCGGGAGGCGGGCACATCTACAGGGAGGTGGTTGTTTGACAACGTAAAACACGTAGAATCCAAAGAAAATCCATGAAAAGAAGATAAATTGATATTTATGAAACTCATTTGTATCTTAGGAGCTTTATTATATTCATGACATGTCGGAAATTCAATATACAACACTGGTTGTATGCCTTACTACATATCCCCTATCTCGGGCACATGTAGCGGGAGGCGGGCACATCTACAGGGAGGTGATTGTTAGACAACGTAAAACACGTAGAATCCAAAGAAATTCCATGAAAAGAAGATAAATTGATATTTATAAAACTCATTTGTATCTTAGGAGCTTTATTATATTCATGACATGTCGGAAATTCAATATACAACACTGGTTGTATGCCTCAATACATTTCCCCTATCTCGGGCACATGTAGCGGGAGGCGGGCACATCTACAGGGAGGTGGTTGTTTGACAACGTAAAACACGTAGAATCCAAAGAAAATCCATGAAAAGAAGATAAATTGATATTTATGAAACTCATTTGTATCTTAGGAAGCTTTATTATATTCATGACATGTCGGAAATTCAATATACAACACTAAGTTGTAGCCTATGCCTTACTACATATCCCCTATCTCGGGCACAATGTAGCGGGAGGCGGGCACATCTACAGGGAGGTGGTTGTTTGACAACGTTAAACACGTATACCTCAAAGAAAATCAATGCAAAGATGTTGAATTGATAGTTGTAAACTCATAAGGGAGCTTTAATGTTACATCCCTTAACTCTCGGATATTTAATATAGAATACTATTTTATTACACAACTCGATCCCTATCTCGATCGGGCACATGTAGAGGTAGGCGAGCACATCTACAGGGAGGTGGTTTAGCCGACGACCGAGTTGGTCACGTGTTTTATGGAGTTAAAAAACGACCAAAAGAATCGCCATTTTTGTATAAACTGTATCAAAAATGTATCAAAATCCACACTAAATAAATTTACTTAACACTCAAACACTTCTACCTCATAATCACGGACAATACAACTGTATAATGGTAAGATTTTGCCCTGATTTGGCTGAACCACTGCGTTGCACGTATTACCTTCATTGTACAGTCATGACCCCAATTCTGCACGTACGTACGTACGATCGTACGCGCGCAGTCAAGAACATCAATATTCATGAATTGACACGACGTCACTGATATGCATATTCATTGCCCTCCTTGTAGTTGTGCCCGATTAGAGGCTACCATAGAATATAAGCAGCAAACGCTAAGAAAAGAGAAAAGCCAAAATGCTTTTACTTTTGCGATTAGACGGTTACTTGGCAGAGTATTGTCATACCAAGTCTAATATGAAGTTAGAAAAGCGAGGTAAGCAGTCTAAGAAACGTAGCAATGTTCTGTTTTTGTTTTTAGTCGGTCTTTGAGTATGATGACGGGATTCGGTAGAACCCCACTCGTTCATTTTTGTGTATGGTAACCTCATTTTTCTGGTGAAACAGTTAGTGGGAGATCAAACTTGCAGCTGCTACTGTAAAATCTCAGGTAGTAGAAGGCTGTGAAAGATTTCCTTATGCGACAGCCACCTAGATCTATATGTTATCCTTTTCAGAAGTGTATAAGTCCAGTTGCAGATTGAAGTAAAGGGGGGGGGGGGGGGAGAGAAAGGTTGTGCTCAGGAGCACACACTGCACTGACTAAGGCAAAGTCCAGGGTGTTTTTTTCTTCAATTATTAACTAGGCCTAGAATAAACAGATTACAGTTTTTTTTACATATTATAATAGAGACTTTTTAAAGTGTATCGGTAGCAGAAAATTTCTTTGTTTGATTTATACTCATGTACAGAACACCGGTGTTATTAAAGATCTTGTCATTTTTTTAGGGTGGGGCAAGAAGGAAGGGGGATGCTTGTCAATTAAGTTGTTGACGATATTTACCTTTTTTGGCAATGCCACACTCGCGCTCGCTAGGCCTAGGGTATGTGGCATTCTATCATATGACGATGTTAGTAGTAGGCCTTTATTGAAAAACATTGGGTAAAGTAACAGTAGCAGTAGTACTAAAAATGATGACAATAATATGAATATTATAATATATCAATGATTACGATACTAATATTTTGTAATAACATTAATTATTTAGAGGCGCTAACAATAGATAAACAAAGAGATTCTACATTTTTCTTAAATGATTACCTCATTGTTGAGTTTTATGTTCTTTAAAAATATGTATGCCCAATTTATCAAGGACACAAGGCATTTCCAGTTAACATTTAAACGATGATGATGATGATTGATGATGAGTCGAAATTTAGACAACAATAATAATGATGATCATGATGATAATAATAATAAAAATAACATGATGATGATGATGATGATGATGATGATGATGATGATGATAATAATTATAACAGTGATGATAGTTGATTAGAATAATAATAATATTGATAAGAACGATAATGATGACAATGATAAAAAATAATGATTATAATAAGGATTATGATAATGATAATAGTATAGTATTCATGACTGCTTTGAGAGAAATAGTTGTTTTTATACGCTCAAGGGAAGGTTAGAATTGTGCTATTACCCGAGGCGTGCCGAGGGTAATAGCCCAATTGTAACCTTCCCGAGAGTGTATAAAAACAACTATTTCTCGAATATTAAAGCAGTCATTAATACTTTTATATGCCGAAAAAAAATAGACTAAAAAATAAAAAATAAAAAATAAAAAAACTTTTGTCGAAGATGGGATTCGATCTCTTGCGTACAAAAGGTGTTTTATATAAAGTCAGCGCCTTAAACCTCTCGGCCAGCGCGCTCTGTCACCATATATAGCAGTTTTCTCTAATATATACATTAAAATGAATTGAAAACGGCTTCGCATGGTGGATGCTTCGCCGCTGCTCCATTAAACGGGCCCTTCTTTTACTTTTGCAATGCATATTGGCACGAACTTAGATCAAGATCTATCGGCAGATGTTGTTTTTTTTGTTTTTGGAAGTTTATTTTCGTCTTCATGTCAACAATGCAAGATAAAATTGTCGGTAAGATCGATCGAGATTCAATTGTATTGAAATTACCGACCAATTCTTCGCACACGTAGGCTATCCTCGATCGCTCAGACCATTTTTTAACATGTAAACCTATGGGGTAACCATGGAGACTGACCTATTTTCCCAATAACCATGGTTATTGGGATTTTGAACTGTTTTTTAACCATGGTTACCGGGAATTTTCTGGAACAGTTAAAGTTAATGAATGCAATTTCGACCAATCAGATTCCTGGATTACTTAAGTGAGGTATATAATAATTATTATGATAATGATAATAATAATCATAATAATGATAAAAATGAATTTTTGATGATAGTAACAATGATAATTACAATAATCATAATAATAAGGTTAAAGAGATGAGGGCCCGAGTCATCACGATTTCCCTGTAATTCAAGGGTCCCGTGGGGGGGGGGGGGGTTGGGGAGGGGGACAGTGCCCCCCTCCTTTTCAAGTAGACAAAAACTGCCCCTTTTTATTTGTAATGGGTGCCAGTTTCACATTCTTATAAGTGCCCCTTGCCACCTCTGATACATGCCTCCTTCACTTATGATACATTGTAAGTGCCCCTATTCAAATCTTATACCTTTGACTTTGACAAGTGCTGCCTTTCCTTTGTAATAAGTGCCACTTCCCCTTCTGATAAGTGCCCCTTATCATCTATGATGAGTGCCCTTTTCACCTCTGATGAGTGTCCCCTTTTATTTTGGCATGTGCCCCCTTTTTTTTTACTGATAAATAACCCTTTTCATTTATAATAAGAATCCTCCTTCTCATAAATGCCCCATTTCACATCTCTGATAAATGCCCCTATTAAAATCTAACAGGTGCCCCTTTTCCTTGGTCAAGTGACAATTTTCCCTTGAATACAGTACCCCTTTTCTATTCTCATATAATAAGTGCCACTTCCCCTTCTGATAAGTGCCCCTCTTCACCTTTGATAATTGCCCTTTTTACTTGGACACAATCTCTTTTTCTTTTCTATTAAATAAGTGTCCTTTTCTCTTTTCCCTTTTCCGTAACTATTACCTCTAAGCTCTAACTAAAGTGACAGAGAGAAAATATATATTAAATTTCCTTCCCAAAGCTCGCTCTCTACGCTCGCTTGCATTTATAGTTGATGTAATTATGTACTTCATTAAAGATCTTTGAAGTGTGTCATGATGAGATTGTGCTTACAACCCAGAATCAGGATATTTTTCCTTCTCTTTATAAGATCTAATTGGTCACAATGCAACCTCACAAATCTTGACATTCACCTGCTTGCAAAGGATTATTCAGACCATGACACCCAACTGCAAAGTATGATGTTTAAGCAGTATCTTGGACCAGGGAGATAGAGAAATTATATGAGGCCTGTAACCGATCATTGGATCGAGGGCGATCTTGAGCCGATCAGGGGTGATCGGATAATAATTTCTGATCGCCGATCAATAAAAATGATCGGAAACAAAATCGGCAGATTTTTTTTTTTTTTAATTTTTTTTTAATGCCAAAATTTTTCAAGTTCTTGGCTATCAAATGCCTTAAAAAAAAAATCATAGCTGGGAGAGAAGAGGCAAAACATGCGGGCCGCCATCTTGGATTATAATTATTAATTTCAAAGTCGTGAAAATGCACTAAATATCAACAAACATGGTCTACAACAACTCCAAATGACAAAATAATAAATAATCCCAGCCATGATTTTTTTTGAGCATGTGATAGCCAAAAACTTGAAAATGTTCGTCATTAAAAAAAAAAAATTCTGCCGATATTTTTTGCCGATACCGATCACAGGTGCGGGGGTGTTGCTCCAATCTTCCGATCCGATCAAAGCCCCAACTAACAGGATTAAATTATATATATAATATTGAAATCATCCCTGATAATGACAATTTATATAATTCCACAGGGGGGGGGGGGGGGGCATGTGCACCCCCAAAATTTCCAGATCGGTTGAACTCTTTTAGACACCTCCCCAGGACGTCGATCGATTACATGTATGTGCCCCCCCAAACATCAAACTCTGGCTACGGGCCTGCTTATTTCCTTTCTGATTAATTTGGTTTAGTAGATTAAAGGTAATACAAAGTTTTGGTATGGGGTCATGAATTTGGTTCTAATGAACATATTGGAAGCATATTTGATCCTACAATATTCAGTGATCGTTTTTACGGTTAAAATGAAGTCTAAACTTATAAAATTGTAAATTATAAACTATTTATGTTGTACAGCTCCCTCTCAAGGTCAAGATATTAATTAAGCTATAAAACAATGTTTCTTGACAAAAATCTACAGATTAGCTATTCCCATTTGTCAAGTAGATATCACAACTACAAATTCTGAGATTTTTAGGGTCGTAGCTACCATTGTACGGCCGTAGTCACTATTTGAAATTTTTCAAAATTTACCGGGGGCACCGGTAAATTTTTACATTCAATTTTTCTCGAAAGCAGAAGTGTTTTAGGGGCTAAATTTTCTAGTGCTTATAATACATCCACATGGGCATCCAAATATATCAAAATTGTAAAGAATCACTGTCCACCCAATTTTCAATATTCCCAAAACTTTGTATTACCTTTATTAAAGCCTCTTCACATGTTTGTTGTTCACTATATACCGGTAACTCTAAATGAATGCCTTATTGTGCCTAGGTACGGCATGCTTCTAATTGTAAATGTCAAGTCTGGTTTCCTGGCACTATGTTTCATCAGGTAGAATTTATGATTTACTTTTCTTCTCATTGATAGGCATCGGCTAACTGAGAGAGAAGACAACCATGGATTGGGAAGGAATGTGAGTATATATGATTATATGTAAAACTATGATAAAAATCTACCAATATATCACAAGCTTGAATATATACATGTATGTGCATGTTTTCTGTAGTGAAATGAGCAAATATACATAAAACAACATAATTGCGAAATATCATTTATATGCCATTTCTTTAACAAGTAATTACGTTTGGTTTGTGTGAACCCGTTGCCTACTGAAACCAGATGGTTTCACCATTATTCAGATTGAATGAGCAAGTATTTGATTATTGTTTGAATCTTTGAATGTGCGTAACAACTATGTGGATAGTCCCTAAAAGGACTGTTTGTATTCGTTTGTGCTGCAAGGACTGAGAAGACCAAACGTTCCGTCCGTCGTCAGGAGTGAAGTGAAGGAAGCCTGTGGTTGTTTTTTGTAATGACAGGACGTTAATTCATTAAGAATATTTATGCTGTTAACTTCTTATGAATTTGTATGATAAAATTGTGGTTTGTGCTATTCACAATTTAATTTTAATACAGTGGAAGTCATGGGTAAAAAAAGCAAGAGAATGGACTTAGATGAAGTCGGGCTTGATGCCGGCTAAATGCGGGAACTATGTGTCGAGGGCGGTGCTGTTGTCTCAAAGCTGTGAACATCAAGGGCGTGCTTGTAATAGTTGGGGAGATAAGCAGAGTGGGAGATGAGTTGGCAGACACTGATGATGTAGGATAGGGGGTGAGGGGAGGAAGCCAGATTTTGATGATATGTAGGTCTGGGTTCCGATGTACGGTACTGTGTTGTGTCGATAGATTTTGATTGCCTCTCTAATCCTGCATGTGTTCTAGTGAATGCTGGCTATGATGAGGTGGCTGTTTTGCCCAGATGATGCGGAGGTTGTATTGTTGTGCATGTTTGACTAAAGCTGATGTGTTCCTTTTGCTGAGCCTGTAGACTGTAGATGGCATTGTGTTCTCTCAGGCGGGTGTCTATAAAGCTTCTGCTGCTTTCATCTACATACTGTACATAGCAAATTGCATAGAAATTTGGTAGTATGTCTCAAGTGAACTGTCTTATCCTGTATTGTATTTCTTTGTTTTAATACAGGGATGGTATAGTCCAACAGTTGAGACATCAGCATTCTCCTTATTTAAAGGTAAGAAAGACAGAGAAATGACAGAGCGAGTGAAGGAATCAGGAGAGTGTGAAAGATAGAGAGAGATAGAAAGATAGAAAGATAAAGGGGTTAAGGAAGAGAAGAACAGAAGATAGGAGTTAGAGAGAGAGTAAGAGAGAAAGAGAGTGTGAGAGATAGAGAGAGAGAGATAGAAAGATAAAGGGGTGAAGGAAGAGAAGAAAAGAAGAGAGGAGTGAGAGAGAGAGAGAAAGAGAGGGAGGGAGAAAAAAAGAGAGAGTGAGAGAGTGAGAGAGAACAAACAAAAGAAGGGGGAGAGGGTTGGTGGAGGGTAGAGGAGAGTGGAAAAAAGAAAATGGTAAAAAGAAAAATGGGGAAAATATCATGATTGAGAATGAGATCTGAGAGAGAGAGAGAGAGAGGGAGAGAGAGGAAGGGGGGGGGGCGTGGGCATGGAAAGGAATAGAAACATAAAGAGAGAAGGGGGTGCAAGAAAACAGAGTATGAGAGAGAGTGAAAGAAAGAAAAAAAAAGGGGGAGGGGCAAGGGGGAGGGAAGCAGGAGAGGGGGAAGGGGATTGAAAAGAAACAAGAAAATTAAAGTCAATGAGCATTTGTTACACTAGAGTATTGATGGGTGAAGAATATGAATTCTATTTTATTAACTAGATCAAGACCAGAATTATATTTGATATATATTTAACATAGGAGATATATCAAATTTTCTTGAAATTTTGTAAGTTTGGCATGACATCCTTATTGCTTTAGTAACAACACTATAGTGCTACTTTTAGAAAATCTTTGTAATCATTTAGCAGGTCTATAAGGGAGAATAGTTCAACTTGTCTAAGACTCTAACCTCAACTCTTACAACTTTTCAAGCATATTCTCTGCGGTAATAGTGAACCTCTCCTTGATTCTCATACCATGAAAGGATTGCATTCTGAAGTTCTTGGAAAAACAGCAAAGATTTGCTACTGAACTCCTTAGGGAGGGAGACTACCTCACTGCTGCTGGACACTTGGCCAAAGCGATCCAGCTGTTCAATGTTCTGGACCGAGATGGGCATCTGAATGATACATGTGATCGGACCAATCAGAATCTTCTCTATTATTTGCATGCGGAAGCTTGTATACGGCAGGTAAGTACATTTTTTTATTTGCATTTGTCATTTGTGAGAGGAATCGATGTGATGTCTTGTGTCATTTTCAAATGAGGGGAAGGAGAAAATTATCAGACTTGAAGGAATATTTAGAAACGTTTCAGTGTCACAGTCAAAACAACCAAGAGCATTAGAAATGCAGAAAAGCAAGAAGAGAAAGCTTTGTCATTTTGATAAACACTGGTATGCATGTATGATAAGTAATTTTTAAAGACTTCTTTTGCAAGGGATTTTGGTCCCCTCTTGAGAAGAATATGTAAAAAGAACAAACAAAAGCAAGCTCAAACAATAAAAAGCTAAATAAAGAAGAATAATACACGGTTGAAAAGAAACAAAAAACAACTTTCAGCAATTGATATTAAAGGATGTACATAAATATTTCTCTTTCTTTTTAATATAAATGTAGCCTGAAATAGAATAAAGTAGGAACAGTCGATTTGTTCAAGAATTCTTTTTTTCCAGGGTCATTATTTTTCTTTGTCTTTTTCTCTTTTGTCCACTTGTTTGTTTGCAGTCAGATCAGTATCCGAATGGATTGCCATTTCTTGAGAGAGCTCTTCAAAGTCTACAGAGAGGTAAAGATTTGTTGTCCGTTAAATTCTAGAAAGCCAAGACACTTAATGCCAAACTCACCAACATGTGTAGATTTAGTCCACCGATCTATGCAGTGCCAAACTGCAACCTTCTCATCCTATACAAATAAAAAAAAATCTGTAATTAAATTGAAAATACAGAAACATGTATCAATTACATTTCTTTTTCATTATTTTATTTCATGACCAAATTAATTTGGTTTATAACGTTTCTTTCATAATAAAGGTAAATCATACAGAACTTAAAGGGTCAGTGCTTAGCCTTCCATGACTCAATTTGCTGACAAGGAAATAAAGTTGTTGAATTTGTAGATTTGCCATCTGATGCCCACATTTCCCCCCTAATAACCCCCCCCCCCCCCCCCCCCCGGAATCAAGAATAAACTAAATTTGCAAATAAATGTGCCCCTTATTTTCTAAAGTTATTTGACTGAAAAGACTTTTGTTTATATTGTTTTCTATCTATATTCATTGACCCACACCAACGCTCAAAATACATGGGGGCGGTGGGCGATTCGCCCCCGTGAGCTCCATAATCGCCCCCGTCAGGTTGCTCACGGGGGCGATTGCAAAATTAAAAATCGCCCACGTGGAATTATAAAATAAAGATTATCTTTTCTGATATAACTTTAACACAATATTGAGTATCAATTTTCAAACCTTAAACCAATGAAATGGAACTTAGATGGCGCTATCTCTCCCATCTCTATGAGTATTACTGATACCAAAAAACGAAAGCTCGCACTATATTGTGCGGCCGTCAGCGGTGGCTATACTGCGCCGGTAGTACAGGTTTGCACGCTGACGCCCAATATCTGCTGGAGCTGGAGACGATCACGCAAAGACTGAAATATGCAGAAGTTTTTCGTTGTGAAAAGTGTGAATCCTCTAAAATCTGGGGATTCTAAAAAGACAGCAAATTATGTACCTCGACCAGTAAATCAATATCGAGAAGAAGAACAAGACCAAAGATGTTGCAGGGGCGGATCTAGGCGGTTTAGGGGGTTTAACCCTCCTTAATTTGAGCCCTGACCCACACACAAACAATTGACTAATGTTTCTATGTAAAGCCTGAAGGTTGATCATTTTGATGCATTGCAAGAAGATTTATGCACATTTTACACATTTAAAAAAATGTTATAGTATTGATAATGGTTAAACCAGCATTTATCAAATTTGTTTTATTAGGAAATAAATTTTTGATCCATTTGTTTGTGATTCTCTCTTCGTTCTCAAAGGTACATTCAAATCATATTTTAATTTAATGATATCACAGTTTTTACGTCTCTCGCTGAAAATTACATTCTATTCATGATTATTTATTATTTCTCTTTTTTAAAAGTTTCTGGTGCCCTTATTGATGATAAGAAAACCCTCAGACTTGTTGCCAATTTGAAGAAAGAATTGATGGAATACACGAACTCAGACGGTTTGGCAAACGTTTCACTGGACAAAATCAGGGAATACAATGCAGTGCTGCTCACTTTTGACTATGATAAAATGGTAATATATGAACATGTATTTCTATTTTTATTTTACTGCATCCTTATGGATATTAATGTACTTTATAAGCATTCACTTCTTTTTGTTGTCGTCATTCATTTTCTTTTTTTTCTTCCTCGTATTATATCATTACCATTACTTCAAGATTATCATTACTAATACTATCAATACTATTAGTACTATTATATTATTAGTATATTATTCTTATGACAAAAAAATTATCATATTCTGAGGTGTTAAATTTCTGTCAATAGGTGCTTGAACTCCGAAACAAAATCAATGTAGAAAAAGTTATTAAATATGCACCTGATATTTCCATTGGATGGTTAAAGCTAAAGACCAGTTATGGTCATGCGATTGCATTGTGAAAGAAACGTTGTGGAATGGATCAGAAAAGGTTGATCATCTAGCATATAAGTATTGGTGTGTACTGCAAGGTTCTGGAATCATCAAAATGATAAGGAATTTGGCCTAGTCTTCGTAAAGTTACATGCACTGTACGCAGAAAGATGTATATGAGACTATACGCACACGTGCCCGACACGTGCGTTTATCTCTCACAGACCAATAGATAAACTAATTTACCAAATATATCAATTAGTAGGCGGTTTCCCGGCAAAATTGTAATCATCATGTATTAGTCTAAACATATTCTTTCACATGGTTGGTAATAAGAGCTTCCATTTCATTTTTTGAAATTGGGGCGTTTCCAATACTGGTCTTTACCTTTACCAAGTAAAAAATGGTGCAGAAACCATTGTTCATAATAATGGTAGATTGTTGCCTATTTGAAGAATAAATAATAATCCTTGGGGGTATTGTAAGAGACATCTGTTGAGAGCCAGAATGGTGTTCGCTCTTTGTTAGAGAATATGAGTCGGCGCAGTGCTGGCTCCAGGTGTTAATGCATCTGTTGTAATAAGTAAATTAGAGAGAGAGAGAGAGAGAGAACAAGGGGGGGGGGGGAGAGAGAGAGAGAGATAGAAAGATAGAGAGAAACAGAGAAAGAGATGGAGTGAAGCTATGCATGTAGTATACAAATTAATTTGAAATAAATAATCGCCTTTCATAATTTCTTCATTAAAAAAATCTGTTAAAATCTTTTTCGACAAAAATCAATGTGCATGTAGTAGATTTTATACATGAACACATTTGAATTCATACATGGTATTGTATTCAGGAAGAGAGAGAGAGAGAGAGAGGGAGAGGGAGGGAAAGAGGAGAGAGAGAGAGAGTGTGAGTGAGAGAAAAGGGTGGGGAGTCCTTTTTCAGCTGCATATTTTCCCACTGACGGTCGTCAAAATGAGATATTTATTGCCAGTAATTGTTTGGCAAAAGATATTATGTTCATTCCATAGTTATGTTGTGAGTCATTCAGGAAGGAAGTGTGATTTATGTTCACGTACTGCACTGACATTATGCAAGAGAATCCTCTCCATAACAGCAATTGTGCAATACCAGAACAAAAACAAAGGGCTGCTCAAAATGTTGAATTACAAACCATGTAAAAAAGCCTTGGAAACATTGGACTGAATTAGCCCATACTTGATGACACAGATATTCTTTATGCTGACGTTTAAAGGGGAAGTCCACCCTGAAATTAAGTTAGTTTTAATAGGAGTAGAAAAATGAGAGAAACAAGTCAGTGAAGTTTGAGCAAATTCCGATTAAAAATAAGGAAGTTAGGATTTTTTGAAAATTTTTGAAGTTGTGATCAATCAAACACAAATTGGCAACTCTATGACATATCATGCGAGCTCAACTTCCATTTGCTCAGTACTAAAAAAATCTAAAATTTTCATTTTCCCTCAAGAAAAATTTCAACCATACATGCACCCTAAAAATAACAATTGCAAATATGTTTCTATACTCCCCCTGCAAGGAACAAATATATATTCCGTCATCAATAACGAAGAAAACATGATTTTATGGAATATTATGCACAAAGCAAATGAAGGAGAGCTCGTATAATAAGTCACAGAGTTGCCAATTTGTATTTGATTGATCACAACTTCAATAATTCATAACTTTCTTATTTTCATTCAGAATTTGCTCAAACTTTCACTCACCTGATTTTCTTATTATTCTGCCTCTATCGAAACAAATTTATTTTGGGGGTGGACTTTCCCTTTAAAGGGGAAGTGTACCCTGATTGGTTTTGATGAAACAAACAAATTGATAGAAAGAGATAAGTGAAAGTGAAAGATGAGAGTAAAATCCAACAAAAAATAAGAAAATTCTACATTTATGAAGATGTAATTAATAAAACACTAATTGGCAACTCTGTGTTTTATCCTTGGTCCTCTCCCATTTCTCAGCACTTTTTTGCATTTTCTTAGATATTGATAAAGAAATACATGTGTTTCATGCAGGGGCTGTTTTGTTGTACAGAGTAGGCATACATACTGTAGTAAAATGGTAGTTGCTGTTACAGTTGCTGATCTTTTGGTCAGTACCTTCAACGAATTGGAATCAAAATTGAAAAACTATACTATGGCAATTTTATACTTCTCTCCATCTAGAAAATCGTGATGAGCTTCTTTAGGTCTGGTGACCCGAGAGAATTGTTTGAAAGAATTTGGACTATTCTTGGACCTGCCGATGAGGGCGCCAGTGCGTCGGCTCAGGGACAAGGAAATCGTGGGGTGGAGATGGACTGGATACTTATAGACAGGGTTCGTATGGGTCAGGGAATTTCTGGAAAGTCAGGGAATTTAAAAATGTTTTTTCCAGAAGCAAAAAGTCAGGGAAAGTCAGGGAATTCATCCATTTCTTCTGGAAAGTCAGGGAAAATCTTTTTTTCTTCAAGATGTTTGTTAAAATGGCATTTAATTTGTCTTGTGAACAAAGGAAAAAACATTTTGTAAAATCTGTGGTTCACAGGACCTTTTTCGTAATGAATTACACGCAATATCTTTAGGACCTACTAGTATCGTGTATATTGTGTCTTTCATACTGTATGCAATATGTTTGTGTGCGTAAATGACTTGCAGTGACAGATGTGGTGCGTGATGCCGGTGTGTGTACATACAGGAATGCTGCATGCACGCTGTACGATTACTTTTTGATCGAGCTTGTGCTTTGATTTTGATTAAAAGTTTGAATGAAGGTGGTTCACCCCGGGGTTTTACCACAGAATATTCATAAAACAATAATTTAAATGTAAATAACTATGCATCATGAGCCACTCGTGTTTTCTTAAGAACCGCTTTAAAAATCGTGTTGCTCTTTACTCGAATATCGCAACCCTGAATCGCATTTGATTCCACATTTGGCGTCCATTGTGCGAGCGCGAGCATACAGCCAGTAGTTAGCTTGCCTAGCCTCGTGGTCGCTGCTTTCCCCAAGGTCCGCAATTAAGGCACACTTTTTTCTGTTAGCAAAATATCGAAAGTTGGGGGTGAGCCTTATATAGTCAGGTACAGGATATATGAGTCCTCAAATGCTGCTTTTCAGTGGTTTTCAAAAATCTCTGTGTCTCAACATTACATAATGCAAATAAAGAATAGGATCTACTATTTGAAGTTAAACTACGTTCCTAATTTGAAAGGAAGAGAGTTTTTTTTTCAGTTTTTTTTTTTCAGTCTCGATAAATTATGCCCTGTCACAAAGCACTTTGCCGGCCGAAGCTCTCCCGTGTCTTCAGCTCACTCACCTGTATGATGCAGCTCACTTACACAGGGGATAACGAATAACCACACGAAAACTAGCCTGTCCACATTTCTGTTTGGACTCAGAGGAAAATTTTGTCATCTTTAGTTTTAAAAACAACATTGTTACTGATGGGTCTAGCTTAGTTCACAAGCACTTTAACTGTGCCTCGTAATAAAATGAAAGTATTTTCGAACACTATCACTGAAATAAGAGCCGATCTGATGTTAACAAAAAGACCAACGTTGGCTTTTTTTTGGTGGCTTTTTGTTAACCAGATCAGATCGCGTCTTATTTCAGTGTTCGAAAAATACTTTAACTTTTCATTATACGAGGCACAGTTGAAGTGCTTGTGAACTAAGTTAGACCTAGGTCTAGTAACAATGTTGTTTTTAAACTAAAGATGACAGATTTTTTTTTTCCAGATTTTTTTTCCGATTTTTTAAAGATTTTTTTTCAGAGTTTTTTTTTTTTTTTTTTTTGGGGGGGGGGGATCTTCGAAATAGGGGTGCGCCTTATAGTTTTGTGATTTGCTTCCTAGTATTGCGATGATGTATAGTTGTACGCTTTTAATTAAGACATGTTCATCATTGAAAATGGTTATGGAAATTTACATTATCCTGCTCTGGAAAGTCATGGAAAGTCATGGAATTTTTAAAATGTGTAAGTGTACGAACCCTGTATAGAGCATCGACAGATTGCACAGAGGCAACACTCACACGGACAACATTATGGTGTAAGCAGGGTTTCTTGCTAATTTACTCAAATGGTGTCCAGAAGGACATTTTTAGGGTTTGCATGCATTCAGCCCAATGTTTACATTCTGACATTTTGGTCTGAAGTCGAATTTAGGGCTCATGGGAGAGTTGGTGATCTTTTCCCAAAGGACCAGTGTACAGGATTACATGAGGGATCCGACAACATTTCTAAAAAAATTATGTTTAAAGAAAATGCATGCAGTTTGGGGTTTGGTTTTGAAGTCTTGTTAATAGTTTGTTAATCTTGGTGCAGCTTTTAAGAAGTATTATTCTATTTTGGTGGTTTTTTTTGCATAACTCTTTCAGACTTATTTTTAGTATCCCTGTGTGCTTTGGAAATTCTTTTTTTTCAATTTCAGAAGAAGAAGAAGTCCCGCCCTGATGGGAAAGATAGACCATCTCATGCCTCTGGATCTGTCCCCCAGCTGCGGAGTAGTGAAGGAGGTAATGTTACCCGTCAGGGACAAAGGTCACCTGGACATCCGCCTAGTTCAGGGAGATCTTCTGGTGGCTCATTCACCGTGCGATCACAAAGAGCAGGTTCCGCAGGACAGCCGGCTCCTGGCCCACGAGTTCTGGGAACGTACCAGGGCACTGCCAGTGCAGAAAAATGGGTAGTAGACTATAAGCTCAGGCTTGCATGTAGGAAATGCTTCACAAACGAGGCCCCTAAGCATGGCTACAACAGTTACAGGTGAGGTTTACAATTGTGTCCTTTAGGAATTTGTAGGCGGAGACTGAAGATTTCATACTAAAAGAATTTGTATCAACATCCTTTTTTTCCAATAATTTTTGTTTCTCCAATTATTGATAGTAAAAGAAGGAAAGTTTAAAGTCATTTGAAAATGTTAGTATCTTCATGATTTGTACAGTCTTCATTGTCAGTGTTTTCCACAAGCACCCTATAAAAAATATTTGTTTATGTGCATATTATTATATCTATATTTTTGGTTGATTTATTAAAAAGCAATAAATATTTTAATTTAATACAAAATTGAAGTACAGTTTTGTAATGTGAAATGTACTAAGCAATGCGTGAATTTGAACTTCAACTCCCATGTGTGTTTCTCTTAGGCTGAATGTGAATCCAACTCATTTTCCAAAGTGCAGAAGGGACTACTTACTGTGCCTGTTGGCTAGGACACCCAAGAATGGTCACCAGGCTGTCTATGGCATCATACGTTGTCGGCCTGATGATGCAAAGCACAGTCTCTGTGACCACTTCCAAAATGGAGATCCATGCAAGGTATGCCTTTCGAAAGATAATATTCACTCAGATATGATCTCCCACTAGCACTACATAAGAGATGATTGGTGCTTCAAAATCATTTTGATGAATGATCCCTCTATGAAATGAAAGTCCTTTGTACTTTAGGCTAATACATGTAACCCTGTTTCAAAGGTCATGGTATTTACACACAATTTATCCATCATTTACAGGACTGTCAGTTCAAGATGTATTTGTGTATGTCCAAGATTTCCCTTGGATCTAGATTTGAGATATTACAAAGCTATACATGTATACCGGTATTTGTTTAGAGAAAAACATCTCAGGTGTCTTAATATCAGTCTCATTTCCTAAACCTTTCACCCTTCCTCCCCTTCTCCTTGAAATCAATTGCAGGAATTATCTTGCTGCTCTTGTCACAGCAGGGAAGAACAAGATATCTGGCTAGCTGAAAAAGAAGGCCGGTTTCCAAGAGATGATGTCATAGCTCTCTTGAGGACTCAAGGGCAACATGACCAAGGGAAATCCAACAGAAACTGTAGCACTCCTGCCAGATCACGAAGTGAGAGTCTTGTCTCCCAAGACAATAGTGACTTCAAGAGTCGGAGCAATAGCGCTGCCAGACCTCGAAGGGAAAGTAGGGTATCTCTAGATAATGGAGATGCCAAGAGAAGAAGCAACAGTGTGGCAACATCACGAAGTGGAAGTCCATATTGGCAAACTGGCATGAATGTGGTACCTAGAGAAGTTGCCACTGCTTCATCCGTCTGCAATTCTCCTGGGTTATTGTGCGCTAAGAGCAATAACCGACAGAGGTTCCAAAAGATGCCAGGACACTCTGTAGTAAGGTTAGACAAAGCACTTCTGGATGAACTCAAACGGATTGGTGGCAAGTTTCTTGTAGTTTGCATGCAATGCTTTGAATCTAAGCCAGTGAAAATCAGCCCTCCCAATCCGAATAATCGCACAGTTTGCTTGTACAAAAATCATTCCATGACCATGATGCCGAACAGGTGCCTTGTTCATCAGTTTGGGGTTGGCAGATTCACCAAGATTCGTAAGCGTCCTTTCAGGGTGATGCATAAGCCTATAGCTGTCTGTCGGTATGTTGATAGGATTTATGGATGTGAGAGAGAAGACTCTTGCCATTTTGCTCACAGTGAGACAGAGGCTAAGGTCTGGTGGTTAGAAGCAAGGCTTGGAAAACAACGAAAAGAGATTATTGAAGCATGCATAGATCTGAATCACCCAGCAACATCCAGACCCTCACCTGCTGGATCACGACTATCTGTCCCTCATGCACTGATCAATCCACACCAAGGCACTTGGGGCAGCAGCAACCGCAGTCTGAAGCAGCCACCTTCTGCAGCATGTGCAATTCCTGTTGAATCGTGTCACTCCAAAGTCCCTTTTGGTCATTCTATCAAGGTAAGCCATCATAAACCTTACTTGTTATCAAGCATGTAACTGCTCACCTATGATATATCACATGTGAACTTGAGAATCTGGGCCCAAGTCCATGCTATGTAAAATATTCAACCCAGGGACCAGTGATGTCATGAGACCTGTCTTGGGTCTCTGGGATCTTAAGGACTTATTCTAGGTAATGTAGAGACATAATGCTAAATGAAGGTAATCAAAGATTTTCCTCCTTGTCTTGGTCTGAAGACCCCAGGACTTGACTTTAGCTGTGACAGAGTCTCAGCATGCTGCAAAGATAAGAAAAATAATTTCCTTTTTTAAGATACATATGCCTATTTATTGTAACATTTTCATTGAGCAAAGACTCCTCTTCCTTCTTATTTATTCCAGCGTGCTTGTGGTAGATGCCTGTGTGAAAATCCGTACCGCATCCAGACACAAAGCCCCAATAGTCCATCATACTGCAGTGGGGCTAGCCGACACTCCTGGGGAGCAAACATTCTGTATGTGGTACACTCCTCGAAAGACAAGCAATGGGTGCGTGTCAATCCCCGCCATCCCCGACTGTGGTCTCGCACTAAACTCCACTTGTGTTGGAATGGGAAGCAGTGCAAGCAGGAAAGTGTGTTTGGAACAGCATGCATGCATCCTCATACACAAGAAGAACTTGTACTCTGGGAGTACCAGAAACTACATAATTGTGAGTTAGTTGGTACAAAGACAGACACCTGTAGACTTATTCTTATTTTAACCTACTTGTGTGTATATGTGCTACCAGCTTTACAGTAGATCATCATAAATAAAATTTCTAGTATTTTGAGATTTCATTCCTTGATGCACTGCTGCATACCTTTCACAGAAACAATCGTCAAAGTTTTTTTTTAAAATGCTATAATTTTCTAGAAATGATGTAATGACCAATCTTGGTGAAAATAGAATGCACAACAGTTTTATAGCCACCACCCAAGGCATTGAAATGGTTTAAAAGAATTTGTAGTAGTGGAGAGAAATTAGGTCATTACCTAAATATACATGAATATTAATATAAAGCTGTCTTTGTGGCTCATTCACATATGCTGTAGAAATTTGTTGTGTACTAAATGATTTTCAGGTGAGGATGTAAAAAGTAAAAGCTCTGAGCAAGAATGGTTCTTATGCGCATGTATGATGTACTCATTTATGTATGTGCTATAAGATATAAGACAAGTTGTGAAGTGCAGTATTCCCTTGGGAAACCATGGCAGCTTACCATGGCATACGTGAACCAGCCTTTATTCCTGAGTTTCAGATTGTAGTTATGAGTATGATAGTCGTTCCATTTTCTTTCCAACTATAGTGTCTAAGCTGGAGGAGGTGGTTCGCTTGCAACAGCAGGCTCAGGCAGCCAGCAACCCTCTCCCCAAACCAGAGCAGACAGATCTAACGCAGCACACTTGCTCTTTCTGCAAGTTCTCCAGTACCTCCAAGACAGACTTTGAGAATCATCTCCTGACCACCGCCCACAAGGCCATGATCTTCTCCGACTCTGATCGTCTGTGGAAGGAGCGTGACCCCCCAAACCTGGTGCAGGATGGCTCTTACGCAATGTGCAAAGAGTAAGATTTTTTATTTACCTCTTTGCTAATAGTAAATAATAATGAGATCGATTTATATTGTGCAGTTACAATAAAAAATATACTCTACTGCAAGAAGAAAAAATCCCCTCTTTTTAGTAGTGCCTAGAAGTGATGTTATTTGATGTATAATGGTCCAGAAACTCAAGCAATCTGAAGAATGTTCTGAAAGTTGATTAAATAAGAACTGTGTATCTGGGCTAGTATAAGGTATGTCCTATATTAGGGTTATTGAACTGTATGAAAACTTGAATCAACATTAATGTACCATTTTATTTCATGTTTTATCTGATGCAAGCTCTAGTAGGACTTTTATGTCGTTACAGTGATCAGAGCCACTAGAATATTTGATATGATCGGAACCGCATGGGACAAAATAGCTTGGACTTGTTCATGTATGCAATCTCACATTGTATGTTTGGAGCCACAAAAGTTTTGACTCATATAATTTAACAATTAATGCACTTTTGGCTTCAGACAGACAATATATCTGTCTGACAATCTGTCTCATGTACTTTTAAGAATACTTGAGATGTTAGATAATAGAAATGATCATTGATGACTTGATGGCCATGTAGGTATGAATATGGAGGTATAACTATAACTGGTGATGCTATCCCATTCATTTTGCTATGGTTCCTTTTCTATTGGGGAGAAATAAGGATAATTCTCAGCTTTTGCAATATGTTGTGCCACTTATCGGGTGTAACAGACGAGTTGAAAGCTGCAATGCCCCATGGGAAATAATCCACATGAAGCCGTAAGTCCGAAATCCCATGGCTTTGTGTACCTAGGTACTGTACATTCAATGTAAGCAGTACATGCTGCATATTTTCTTATGATATCTTGCCAGATTTTAATTGAATACTGCCTCTGCATTTGCCATGGTTTTTTCTGTGAATTAGCTTCAGAATACTAATTCCCACACTTCCAAACTTTAAATATGTGGAGAAATACCCATGAAAGACATGCTGTGTGTGAAATGGAAAATACAGCAACGCTGCCGCAGTTTAAAAAATTTGCCTTATCTGTGGCATCAGATAGGTGGCGCACCATAACAAATACTGGGAATCTGAGAGATTCACCCATAATCTGCCTGTATATGATAAATTTACATGCTGCATAAACTTTGTTTGCCTCTGAAAGGAACGCCACCAAGCAGTGTGAGCACTCTGGAATGTCCAAGGAAGAGAACGAGTGCATCTATGCACATAGCTTGGAGGAGCTGAGGGAATGGAAGCAGCGCCATCAGCACCGCTTGATGAAGCTCGGGAAGGCTCGAGAGATGAAGCTCTACTCCTGGCTGGACAATCTGGTGGAGGAGAAAACATCTGCAGAGGATATGGAGGATGTGGTAAGAAGCATTGAATTGTTTAGGATCATGCTCTATCTCACCACCTCTGGGATACCAATGTTTTGGCCAAATTGTCAAAAATGATACAGTTCACCATTAGATAGGACAAGCTGTATAAGCTGTTTAAAGATGTTCTTTTGTAGCCCCGCGTGCAGACTGAAATTCATGGTAGTTTGGCTATACAAAAATTAAAGAGCTTAAGTATCACAATTTTTTTCTGAATATTGTAAGAAACGTTGTATTATTGCAGATTTGAGCCTCAATTACAAAGAAAATTTGAATCATGATCCTTCTGTAGTCTGGACATCATATCATACTAAAAGTGTATAATTGCGTATCATTATTGTTAATGCTAAATATATTACTCATTGCGGATGTAGTATAGAAAATAATATCGCTAGTGATATTCGTTTCGTCGCTGTTTTCACGAAGTGACGGTAGTGAAAAAAAATTGCATTCACTTTGCGTGACGATTTTCCTCACTACCGTCACTTCGTGAAAACAAGGACGGTTTGTCTCGCAATGTGGTCAATAAGGAATCTTCTTTTACACGGATTGGTGATTGGTCGATCACCGTGTGCGTCGACCAATACGCGTTGTGCGTTAGTGTTCCAATTATCGATCGAATTATAGACCGCTCCGCCGGTCCTCCCGTAAAGTATAAAAGACCCTTGCTTACATTAGTTTTTATCACCAGACGAAGTGTTGCAGATAGCGCACAAAACGTCGTGATCTTTTAGATTCCTTATTGACCACATTGCGAGACAAACGAATATCACTAGCAATATTATTTTCAATATCATTATTGTTGTTTGTAATTAATTATTTTCATGTATGTATCAGGTATAAATGTTCATTTCTATTTCGCCTTATCTCTATTTCCTTCTTTTTTAAGCGCATAAGGATTTTCTTTGTGTTTGTGATATGCGCTATACAAATAAGGTTCATTATTATTATTATTCCTATTATTATTATAAGCAAGGAGGGCTTCTAACGAGTGCCCCTTGATGATTGGCCAGCTGTAGTATCAAAGTGAGCTTCTTCTTTCTTTATACAAGTTTTGTATAAGTCTAAACAGAATATTTTACACATTTTGCAATATTATTCATTAGATTACTGATGATATATTTGGCATCGAGCTGGACTGCAAGAGGGATGTAGATGTTACCCAAGAGCTGCCTGCATCTGATGTGATCCAATGGCTTGTTGTTCTTCATTGTGGCAGTGAGGTAAGTTTCATATTCCATTTATATTTCACCCCAATGACTTCTTTTGTGTAATTTTTCTTCCTCTCTTTTATGACTCTGCTGTGGCTGTGTTGCTTAAATCTTGACCTTCCAATATATCTTCCTGTAATTTTATGAAAAAGGATTAATACATTTTTATATGGCTCAAACTTATTGTATAGTTTCTATACCCATAACAAAACAATATACATGTACTAACAATTGTTTTATTTGTCCCCATATAAGCGATGCCATTATTAAAACACAAGCAGTCCTGAGTCTTTTCCTTTGATGTAGTCATGGAGTCTTCTCTTGATCAGCAAAAGTTAATGAACTGGTAGAAGGGTACATGTACCAAAGTTTTTTTTTTTAATTGTCTATCTTCCTTTTGCCATTACAGAAAAAGCTCAAGAGGGTAGGGCTTCTTTTCGATGAGCACCGCTCTCACTTCCATCTGTCAGAACCTGAGAAAGATTATCGCCCCCAGACATGTCCAGGTGGTCTTCTCAGACGTGATGACTCTGATGAGTACAGCCTAGCGGTCAACTTCATCCAATCGCACTCCGGCGTGTTCAAGCAGTGGCTTGTCTTTGACTTTGGTTAGATATTTCATGATTGCCAAAATTTTTTTAAATAGTAATAATAATAATATTAATAATAATAATAATAGTAGGTTTGTGAACAGCACTCGTGTCTCTGGTAAATTACCACTCTGGGCGTGCCATTGTTATTACCGCATCTTTTGCATGGCTGCCATTACAGTGTAATGGCAGCCATGCAAAAGATGCGGTAATGGCTGCCATTACAGTGTAATGGCAGCCATGCAAAAGATGCGGTAATAACAATGGCACGCCCAGAGTGGCAGTGCTGAGACAGGGATTTGTTTTCGGTATGTGTACCTTGTGGTTCACAGTCCAGAGACTCATCCACTGGACCACAACACCTCTACTGCACCAAAACACTTCTGTTAACCATATTTTCACTAAATGACCATTTGAATATACCCTTTGTTTTTAAACACTTTCATTTTTCAAATACTTTATCCCGGATTATTAAGTCAGGTTTCATGATTACATTTTAAACTAATGTCATAAGAGGCTGTTTAAGGTCAGCCAAAATCATATCTCTTTATTTTCATTTTTTTCTTTTAAATTGTATTACTTGTGGAGGTTATCTTTAATTATTACTGTATGATCCTTTTGAGAAGCGGTCAACATATTAAAGTTTGTTTGCCAGAATTCTGGAAGCTAAATTCCCATTGCTTGTGAGTTACATACATGTATATCTTTGTGTTTCTCTTAGGTGATCGGCCATGTCTTGCATTAAAGCTGTCAGTGACCATTGGTTTCAAGAGTGAAATGAAAGAATTGGAGTTTAAAGAGCAGACGGTGAACACAGCTGACTTGTGGAATGAGAGTAACAGTGAGATCATCAAATGTACCCAACAGGATGAATGGACTCACAGGTAAGCTTTGTCACACTTAAGAAAACTGGTCCATATTGAGGTTATGTGTATGACTTTGAAGGCATCATCTTCTGTTATTTTCTGTTTTCCTTAGAAACCCGTCTGTACTAGTTTTGCCAGGAGGGATTAGACCACCCAGCGTGGTCACTGACAGGTGGCTGTCTCATCAACTCAGCTCTCAATTAACATAAGAAAAAGAGGATCATGGGGGACCAAAGGGCACTGCTTAGGCATTGTTTTCTATATAGAGGGAGCAAGTAGCTGCAAGTAGTACAGTGGGGCTTTAAGAGTCACTATAGTGGTTTATTTTTACTATTTTCCCCATTGTTCTAGTAGTCATTAAGGTCTAAAGAATGTATTGTCTATTAATATAGTCTTTCTAATCCTGTTAGTTTATTTCATAGCATAAAATTGTATTTTCTTTTTGTTGTATTTACCTTGTTGAGCGCATAGAGAGACTTGTATATTATGATCATCATCACCCTGTGAGTTCCCTCTATGGGGGATGGGGAGGGGGGGGGGGCGGGGTTGGGTCTCCGCATTACCACCCTCGATCTAGTCCTACCTGTAGCTAGCTCCATCTTTTCCAGGGTCTTCCTTTCTATCTCCATCTCTTTGGTATCTTCATATTTTAATTTTAGGTTAGAGGGGCAGTATCCTACCCCTGGTTCACACAGAGTACCAGCTCTCCTTGACCCTGGTGACGTTCAGAGTCTTAACCAGAACACGTACAGACAATTCATGCATGACATGCTGACAGACGAAGAGAGAGCATGTATGGAGATGGTTGCCAAGTAAGTCTTTTGAGAGTATTGCAAGATGAATTCAGAATGTTCACCTATTCCATTAATATGACCCTCTACAATGCTTAGATTATCTTAATTTGCTATGGAAGTCAGACTTATACTCAGCAGCTAGTCTGTATTTGAGTTTTAGGTACACAACTAGTCATTTGCTGACATGAGTGTAAATGAAGCCTTTACATGCACATGAGTGTTCATCATGCATGTATTCTTCATACAACCCCAGAACCCCTAGAGTATCAAGTTACCAACCATGTGCAGCTACCATTTTAATAGAGGTTTGACTATATACGACTATTCATTAAATAAATGACTATCACAATCCTGCCACCATTTTACATCCCACCTCTTCTACTGCATCCATGATATTAACATTTCAGCGTTCCTACTATGCTGCCACCACGTTAAAATCCCACTGCTCCTACTGCTGCCACCATGATAACATCCCACCGCTCCCACTGCACCCACCATGATAACATCCCATCACTCCCACTGCTGCCACCATGTAAACATCCCACCGCTCCCACTACAGCCAACATGTTAATGTCCCATCGCTCCTACTGCTGCCACCACGTTAACATCCCATTACTCCCACTGCTGCCACCATAACATCCCATTGCTGCCACTGCGGCCTCATGCGTTAACATCCAATTACTCCCACTGCAGCCACCATGTAAACATCCCATCACTGCCACCATGCATTAACATCCCATTGATCCAACTGCTGCCATGTAAACTTCCCATTACTCCCACTGCTGCCACCATGTTAACATCCCATCTCTCCTACTGCCGCCACCATGTTAACATCCCATTACTCCCCCTGCTGCCACCATGTTAACATTCCATCGCTCCTACTGCTGCCACCATGTTACCATCCCATTACTCCCACTACTGCCACCATGTAAACATCCCATCGCTGCCACTGCTTCCACCATGTTAACATTCAATCGCTCCCACTGCTGCCACCATGTTAACATCACATCGCTGCCACTGCAGCCACCATATTAACACTCCATTACTCCCACTGCTGCCACCATGTTAAGATCCCATTACTCCCACTGCTGCCACCATATTAACATCCCATTGCTCCCACTGCAGCCACCATGTTAACATCCCTTTGATCCCACTGCTGCCACCATGTTAATATCCCATCGCTCCCACTGCTGCCACCATGTTAACATCCCATTGATCCCACTGCTGCCACCATGTTAACATCACATTGATCCCACTGCTACCACCATGTTAACATCCCATTGATCCCACTGCTGCCACCATGTTAACATCCCAGCACTCCCACTACTGCCACCATGTTAACATCCCATTACTCCCACTGCTGCCACCATGTTAACATTCCATTGCTCCTACTGCTGCCACCATGTTAACATCCCATTACTCCCACTACTGCCACCATGTAAACATCCCATCGCTGCTACTGCTGCCACCATGTTAACATTCAATCGCTCCCATTGCTGCCACCATGTTAAGATCCCATTACTCCCACTGCTGCCACCCTGTAAACATCCCATCGCTGCCACTGCTGCCACCATGTTAACATTCAATCGCTGCCACTGCTGGCACCATGTTAACATCACATCGCTCCTACTGCAGCCACCATGTTAACACTCCATTACTCCCACTGCTGCCACCATGTTAAGATCCCATTACTCCCACTGCTGCCACCATGTTAATATCCCATCACTCCCACTGCAGCTACTATGTTAACATCCCTTTGATCCCACTGCTGCAACCATGTTAACATCCCATTGCTCCTGCTGTTGCCACCATGTTAACATCCCAGCACTCCCACTGCTGCCACCATGTTAACATCCCATTGATCCCACTGCTGCCACCATGATAACATCCCATTGATCCCACTGCTGCCACCATGTTAACATCCCATTGATCCCACTGCTGCCACCATGTTAACATCCCAGCACTCCCACTGCTGCCACCATGTTAACATCCCATTGATCCCACTGCTGCCACCATGTTAACATCCCAGCACTCCCACTGCTGCCACCATGTTAACATCCCACCACTCCCACTACTGCCACCATGTTAACTTCCCAGCACTCCCACTGCTGCCACCATGTTAACATCCCACTGCTCTCACTGCTGCCACCATGTTAACATCCCAGCACTCCCACTGCTGCCACCATGTTAACATCCCATTGATTCCACCGCTGCCACCATGTTAACATCCCATTGATCCCACTGCTGCCACCATGTTAACATCCCAGCACTCCCACTACTGCCACCATGTTAACATCCCCCAGCCCCCACTACTGCCACCATGTTAACTTCCCAGCACTCCCACTGCTGCCACCATGTTAAAATCCCACTGCTCCCACTGCAGCCACTATGTTAACATCCCTTTGATCCCACTGCTGCCACCATGTTAACATCCCATTGCTCCTGCTGTTGCCACCATGTTAACATCCCAGCACTCCCACTGCTGCCACCATGTTAACATCCCATTGATCCCACTGCTGCCACCATGTTAACATCACATTGATCCCACTGCTGCCACCATGTTAACATCCCATTGATCCCATTGCTGCCACCATGTTAACATCCTTTGATCCCACTGCTGCCACCATGTTAACATCCCATTGATCCCACTGCTGCCACCATGTTAACATCCCAGCACTCCCACTGCTGCCACCATGTTAACATCCCACCACTCCCACTACTGCCACCATGTTAACCTCCCAGCACTCCCACTGCTGCCACCATGTTAACATCCCACTGCTCTCACTGCTGCCACCATGTTAACATCCCAGCACTCCCACTGCTGCCACCATGTTAACATCCCATTGATTCCACCGCTGCCGCCATGTTAACATCCTATTGATCCCAATGCTGCCACCATGTTAACATCCCAGCACTCCCACTACTGCCACCATGTTAACATCCCCCAGCCCCCACTACTGCCACCATGTTAACTTCCCAGCTCTCCCACTGCTGCCACCATGTTAAAATCCCACTGCTCCCACTGCTGCCGCCATGTTAACATCCCAGCACACCACTGCTGCCACCATGTTAACATCCCATTGATCCCACTGCTGCCACCATGTTAACATCACATTGATCCCACTGCTGCCACCATGTTAACATCCCATTGATCCCACTGCTGCCACCATGTTAACATCCCATTGATCCCACCGCTGCCACCATGTTAACATCCCAGCACTCCCACTACAGCTGTCATGTCACCAGACAGTGGCTAAAGTATTTCCATCCTTCCACCTGTATATCCCATTAACACTTGTTAAGACATTTTAAGAACCCTAGAACATGTCACATACCACAACTGATATGGTGTTGAATTAACACTGCTATCTCCATGTCATCACCCAATCCCTGCCATCATGTCATCACTCCACTGGGCGGTAGTCATTTGGATGGTAATTCTCCATGGTTTGTAATTGTTGACAGCTCAACACCAATGCATAGGGAGCTTCAATAATAATAATGGATTCTTGTAAAGTGCTAATGTCTGTCAAACTTGACACTCCTGGCGCTCCCAATTATTACCCTGGCTTTAGCACGGCTGCCATTACGGCGCTCTAGCATTTCAAGGAATGAATTCCTGCCAGGTACCCATTTACATCACCTGGGTTGATTTTATATTTTAAAACTTTGTATACATGTAGCTTTGATATTCATATTTAACTGACAATTCTCCTATTTTTATTTCAAGGTACCGGACAGTAACCATTATGAAAGTATCTGACCATGTTGAGCTGGAACATTCTCTCCTTGGTGCTGAAGAAGGAGAGCTGTTTGGGACTATCACCCTTGACAAGCCGCTTCATGATGACTCAGAAGCTTCCCGTCTAGTCCAGGAGTTTGTTGAGACCATCTTCATCAAATTTCACGAGCAGTCAGATGTGGTCTATGAGGCTTTGAAGAAACAGGCTGAGAAGGGGGCTGTTGTGATCACCCTTGGGTCATCATGTGTGAAGGAGCGTCAATTGAAGGGAGGCATGAATGTGTCAGTGACCATTCAATTGTGCATCAGTCGAGAGCGATTTCTCTCTATGCATCATGCTGTGGATACCTTGAGCTGTATGGACACTGTTCTACCCAAAGGACAGCAGCCGAATAGGTCAGCCATTGTTTTATGTAAATCATAAGCACTACATGTATAGATAGGCAATGTGGAATAAGATAGCTTTAATAGCAAAAAGATGCATCCGGAATGCAAAATGCATGTACTATATTGATGAGGCTTCATGTTGCCTAAACTTTCATCCAAGGCCCTCTCTTATAAAGACTTGCGATTGATCCAAATCAATTGCAAGTTCTCTAATCAACAGCAAGTTTGCAGTCTCCTACCTCTAATATGTACAAAGTTGCACTATCTATCGCCAACAAGTTGCGACTAATCGCAACTGTTTATAAGACAGGGCCCATATATGTACAAAAAAAGAATTTTAAGTTTACAGACATCATTGACTACACCTTTTGCGTTCCAGCTGACGCATCTCTTTCGTGCCACTGCATTTTGCTAAGGTACATATACCTAAGCAGAGTCAGATGGGGGTTTTGTAGATGAGTCAAGTCAAGTGGAACTACACCTGTATACCTAGCGTCCTTTGTGAAGACATTAGACTACATGTATATTTGCAATCCCCTCCTAGGTGTTTAATGGGAAATGGTATGAAAGAGTGCTCTGAGCACCGAAATGAGTAGCCTACTTATATATAGCCTCGGTCACAAATGCCATTACGAACGCCGTACAAACGATTTTCAGACAATGGAAAAACGGAGATTCGTACAAAATTATCTTTCGTACAAACCTTTGTGACCGTAGCATATCTCAGCTTGAGCTGGGATAATATTAGAGTGCATTGAGCACCTTTAGTGATGGGTATGAGCATTTTTTCCTATATTATAAGTAGTAGTAGTGTAGTAGTAGTGTAGTAGTAGTAGTAGTAGTAATAGCAGTAGTAGTAGTGTGCAACACATCACAACATGTTTAAAATCAGATGTTCCTACATAAACATGTAAGTATTAAAATTAAATATTTCATAGTTACCTGATTATTTCCTTTGGTGATTTAAAAGCAAACAAGCAGCTGAACTGAAAATTAGTACATGTACAGAAGTGTGATCATTTAAAAGGAAATACATGTATCCATTTCAGAATATGATATTTTGGTTCAAAACAGGTTTCCAGAAGTAGCTGCCAAGGACTGTCTTGAGGGATTGAACAGTAGACAGGAGCAGGTTGTCCGCCTCATCAAGTCATTAGAAACAAGAGGAAAGGAAGCCACAACCTATAGCGGTCCAACCATGATCCTCGGACCATTTGGGACAGGAAAGACGCATACTCTGGCCAAAGCGATACAGAGAACTTTGACAGAGAGAAAGGATGCCAAGTTCTTGATCTGCACTCATTCAAACAGGTATTTAAAAAAAAAAAAATTCCAGAATCGATAGAGGTATTTTTCTATTGCAAATGTTTTTTATTGCAAAAATATATATTAAAAAGATGTAACTTACATGTCAGCACCAAATTGAAGATGAATATAAAAGAAGAAGTTGTAGACAGAGTAGGGGTCTAAAAGCATATATCACAGGTTGAAAAATCATATCTCTTGGAAATTTCTTCAAAGGTGAAATGAAATGTACCCGTATTTGTTCCTATCTTTTATTTCCTGTTTACAGTGCTGCTGATCTATACATCAGAGATTATCTTCATAAATTCTGTGAAGAAAATCCTGATACTTGGATGGTTCGAGTGTATGCAACGATGCGGAACCTAAGCACGGTTAGAGATCCGGTAAAGCAATACATGCTTCTCGATGCTGCAGGACCTCGTTTGCCAACCGAAGAGGAATGTCAAGGTAGGGGCAAGACCTCCATTTTTTATGATTGAGTTTAAAGGTCAACCTGCCTGTAGTACCCGGGAGTATTGGATGATAGTGGTCTTAATATACAAATTGGGTTTCAATCTCTGCCATAACACTTACACTTTTTGGAAAGACAGTAACCTAGTACAATTGCCCAGGTTAAGTGAATAAATGGGTACCCAGTCTGAAGTAATTCCTTGAATGCTTGATCATCTTATCAGGGTAGCTTGGATAAAGCCTGGTTATAATAAATATTATCATTCTTTTAAAAGTTGTATTAATGCTACTTAATGGTAACTACTATTCGTATTATTGGAATTTGTATTCTTGTAACGTTTAGTATCCACAGAACCAAATTTCATATCTTTGATATATGATATTATTTTATTTTATTCACGTAAGGCTAGTTCTTTACAAACCAGATTCATACCTTAATTCTTGACCAATTAATCTTTTTTCAGACTGGGTCTGCAGAAAGGGCCCCAGTATAGTTGTCATCACTTTGAATACAGCGGTGCACCTTACCAAAACAGCAACACTGCGTGGATACTTCTCTCACATTGTGATAGACGAGGCCGGACAAGCCCTAGAGACGGAGGCCATCATTCCGCTTGCCCTAGCAACAGAGGATACAAGTGTTGTGCTGGCTGGCGATCCAAAACAGATGAGCCCACAGGTAAAGTAAAAGACTAATACCGGTATGCGGAAACTAGGCTGTAAATTATTATGTTTCAAATCAAATTCCTTGCATGATTTGCAATAATTTAATATTTCAGGATGTATTGTACATATAGTGATTTAGTCCCGGACAAGTTAATATTTTTTCATATGTATCGATATCAATTCAGAACTTATAATTTTTTTCATTTGATAGCTTTAGGGAGGGGATATGTCATTTTCATCAAAGTTGTCTCCCATTTACTCTCTTCATGACTATCATTAGGTTCTATTTCTTTTCAAATGTCACATGAATTGCACTGGAATCACCAACATATATATATATATATAGCATTTTAAATGCTCGTTTACAACAAAAAAACAATGAATGGCTCAATTTACTTGGAGGGGTTTTGTGTACTCAAAGCATATGTCATTTGATGATTTATTATTGATCTTAGAATGAAAACATGAGCACCGATGGTGGTTTCTTCCAAAATTGCAGGTGCACTCTCCTCGCACGAGGAAGGCCAAGTTCAACATGTCCCTGCTGCAACGCCTGTTCAAATATGACAAACAGAATGACTGCCACGCCAGCTGCAACCTCACCATCAACTACAGGAGCTGCCAACCCATCCTAGACTTCTTGAAGGTGCACTATGGCACAGCCTTCATATCAAAGAGCACCAGCAGTGGCCACCCCAACCTCTTTCCTCTCAACTTTGTGGACGTCAGGGGGGAGGATCAGCTTGTTGGGACATCATACATGAATGCAGAGGAAGCAAAGATAATTGCAGAATACGTCGCTTCATTGATGAAGCACTGGCCTGAAGAGTGGGATAGACCCAAAAAGAGTGACGTTGTGGTGCTATCACCCTACAGAGTTCAGGTGAGGGTCTTTTTTTATTCATAAGTATTAAAAGCATGAAATTTACTCCATTGATATGACATTTAAGGAAAATGGGTCAAGAGGCAATGTACATGTACATGGAAATTGATTTGAAAGCAGTTTAAAAAAAGGTGTTTTATAGTTTTACATTTATTTTACAATATTGTTGTGCTTCTATCACCTATATAGACAGAGTTTTTGATAAGTGTCCTTTTTGAAAGAATGCAGTGCTCAAAAATTTACTTACCAGTCATTGATTTGACGTTGAAGAAAATTTGATAACCAGTGTTTGCTTTGAAGGGGATTGGTTATAATGTTGTGTATCTGTAAAGCACGTTGAGAGATTGTGAATGTATTAATTGTTAAATTGATCCAAAATAGTTTCATTATTAAGGCATACCAAATATCCTGTGTTGATTTTCATCCTATTTTCTTTAAATACAGAGGCAAAAGAACCCCCAAAACGATAATCAGTGTTGCCTTCTTTGCATTAAAAGTCCCACCAGTAGATTTTAAGTTTAAAGGTTGACAAATGCTATTAGTGCTCACAGCCATTTTAGAATTCCAGTATGGTAATTTGTTTCCCCTTCTTTTTCTTCTTCCATCACAAGGTTGCGTAAGGTTTCTATATATTTTTTTTTTTTGGGGGGGGGATTTGACCAGTATATTAAGATGAACATTGTACGTTTGTACCAGTAAATATTCACAATTTAGCCTGATTAATTTTTCATTCTTGACATTTTTTGAAGTTTGGTTTTAAAGGAAAATTGTATGCATTTATGATAGGTCAAGGTAATCCGACAGGAGCTGAGGAAGAGAGGCCTTCATGCTGTGACGGTTGAGACGGTGCAGAATGTGCAAGGTAATTTTCTCAAGATACTTTGCTGAACTAGTAGAGCTAAAGTATGATACGTAAAGGTGTTTGACAGGATAGTAGGCCTCGGTCAAAACGGTCCTCCCGATTGGGTTTCCGACCACCACGCTAAAACTCTGGTTTGAAAATTGTTATTTTGGGGTATTTCAAAATTAAATTTCACGCTGATTGCAGTACAGAAAATTTACAAATTGAATTTCAATTGAATCAATATATATGGATGTAGAAATAAAAGGATATCGTTTCAGATAACAACTGTTTTGTTTGGGCTCTGAAATTTAAGGTGCAAAGAAGGATTCAAGCTTCGCGGTACCAAGCATGTTCAGAAACGGAAGTAAAAAATATGACTCACCAGCGACTGGGCAAGCTACGATAGAGTCTACCACACATGAGACCAAAATGCCAATCAGAATCGTTTTTATGTAATAGGCACTCATTGTACAAATATCCACAAACTAGTGGCCTACTCAAAATTTATATATGATGAAGGAAAAGAAATTAAGCACACAAAGCAACAAAGATGTGCCTATCAATATTTTTATGCCTCCGTTACGAAGTAGCCGGAGGCATTATGTTTTCGGGTTGTCCGTCCGTCCGTCCGTCCGTCCGTCCGTACGTCTGTACGTACGTCTGTACGTACGTCCCGTTCTCGTGATCACGTTATCTGAAGAACGGATCAATGGATTCCTACCAAACTTTGGTCATATATGTATCTAGCAAAGTCGATGAACTGATTAGATTTTGGGGTCACGAGGTCAAAGGTCAAAGGTCACAGGGCTCATTATGTATGCAAAAACAGCTCGTGATCGCGTTATCTGAAGAACCGATGGATGGATTCCTGCCAAACTTTGGTCATGTATGTATCTTGTAGAGTCGATGAACTGATTAGATTTTGGGGTCACGAGGTCAAAGGTCAAAGGTCACAGGGCTCATTATGTATGCAAAACGGCTCGTGATCGCGTTATCTGAAGAACCGATTGATGTATTCCTGCCAAACTTTGGTCATGTATGTATCTTGTAGAGTCGATGAACTGATTAGATTTTGGGGTCACGAGGTCAAAGGTCAAAGGTCACAGGGCTCATTATGTATGCAAAACGGCTCGTGATCGCGTTATCTGAAGAACCGATTGATGTATTCCTGCCAAACTTTGGTCATGTATGTATCTTGCAGAGCTAATGAACTGATTAGATTTTGGGGTCACGAGGTCAAAGGTCAAAGGTCACAGGGCTCATTATGTATGCAAAAACAGCTTGTGATCGCGTTATCTCAAGAACCGATTGATGGATTCCTGCCAAACTTAGGTCATGTATGTTACTTGCAGAGCCGATGAACTTATTAGATTTTGGGTAACGAGGTCAAAGGTCAAAGGTCACAGCGCCCATTATGTATGCAAAAACAGCTTGTGATCGCGTTATCATTAGAACAGATTGATGGATTCCTGCCAAACTTAGATCATTTATGTATCTTGCAGAGCCAATGAACTGTGTAGATTCTTGGTTCATAAGGTCCAAGGTCATGGGCTCATTATGTATGCAAAAATAGCTTGTGAACGCATTCTCATTAGAACTGACAGATGGATTACTATTTAACTCTTACACTGCCATGAGACTGCTAGCGCGCTATTGTTATAGTGCCATGTGCACGCGAGCGTGCTATCGATTGAAAGCCACGTTCATGCTAGCGAGCCACCGCTACGGTGCTTTGTGCACGCTAGCGCGCAGATGTAATAACAGTTATTGTTCATGCCCATTGCACCGTGTTGAGTGCTTTTGCAGCGCTATTGAAAGTACCGTCGCGTGCATCAGATTATCGGCTTTGGATTACGCGTCTTTGTATACAACAGTCAGATTGGATTTTCTCGAGTAATTTAGAGATTTGTTTTTTATATCATATATCATCATTATGCCTCCCCATCGCATTGGATTGGTTCGACAACTCACTGATAGTGCTTATCTACTTCAGCAAAATTACAAATTCATAAAATGATATTGGTATCAATGGAAGAAGGGTGAAATTTCCTACAACTCTCATGTACAATGTTTGTTTATACAACATACGAATGAGAAGTTATAGTGGATCAAACATAGTAAAGATTTTAAAAACACGCACTTGAACCAACCCTAAAATTAACTTGGCACGCAGGGGCTTTGTTGCTGGCACAATAGAGATTAGCACTGTGGCACTGGGTGCATTGTATGGGTGGCAGCTTAAGAGTTAACTCTGGATATCTTGCAGAGCCAATGAGCTGAGTAGATATTAGGATCATGAGGTCAAAGTTCAAAGGGTCATATATGTATATGAGAAATTGTTTGTAATCACGATATTCTGAGAACCTGTTAATGGATTACAATTGAACTTGAATTTGAAAAATTTCTTCTGTTTTGGTTTGTAAAATTGCTCTATGACGGAGGCATCATTTTCGACTGCGCGCAGTCGAATTCCATCTAGTTTTATTATACATGCAGACGAAGGTCCAAAGTCAAAGGATTAATCAGCTTTAAACCAACTACCCAAAATAGACTTTAAGAGACTTTAACATGCCAAAATTACTGTAAAACGATACTTTGCCTTGACAAACAAATACTATAGATATCCATAATATCTCACAGAAATAATGATTCTTGCGTAGTTACTAAAGCACTCAATTTCATGTTCAGCTAGCCATTTCATGTGATCTGGGGCCCGCAATTTGTTTTCCTCTCTGATGCCATATGCTGACTACTGCAGGAAAATTTAAATGTAGTTCAGACATATGTTTTAATAGTATTTAATAGATGATTTATATTAAGTCACAAATATTTTCATGTTTAATCTACTTTATACAGGGAAGCAGTATCGCGCTGTCTTTCTGAGCACGGTGAGAACGAGATCGTCGCTAAATAAGGTAGACATCACATCCCTTCCCCAAGTAGGAGACCGAAATGTGAGAAACAAGTTCTGGTACGGGTTCCTTTCAGACAAAGCGCTCCTGAACACAGCATTCACCCGTGCACAGTCTCTCATAACTGTCATGGGAGATCCTGTGGCAGTCTGTTCAGCAGGGGAATGCCAGAAGACATGGCAGAGGTACATCAAGACATGTGAGAGGAATGGTGCCATCCATAGCAAACAAGGTCTAACAATGGCTTCTATCCAGAATGAGATTGCAAATGCCAAACGTCTGCTCAACCCTACTGCAAAATCATTCATTCCAAGAGCTTCAGCATCCAGTACAGCCTCCAGGGGGATCCCTCACACCGTAACTGCAAGACCTGGAGTCAGTAGAGCAATTGAAGTGCCAAGTTGCTCTCCGAGGACAGGAAAGCAACAGAGAAGCGCCAGGGAATACCCTCCTGCAACTAGTAGCAGGTTGCCTGCACCTGATGCTGGAGCTGCTGCTTCTGCAGTTGATGATGATGATGAGGAGGACGACGACTTGCTTGGTGATGAATGGCTTCAGGAACTGAAGATTCAGGTGGATGAGGACATGGCTGAGGAGTATAGGAGGTCACATCCAGAGGTGTTGGCTGAAGATCAAGAGGCTGCATCACGACAAGAATCTGATGGTGGAGATACTTCCATTGAACGAGAACAGAGCAAATCAGCCATACCTATCCAGGAGCCAGAAGCTGGAGTAAGATTACAGACAGCACAAAGACACAAAACTACTCCATCTGCATCAAGAGCTACAGTACCAAATGCAGCAAGCCGTACTAATGAACATGTGTTTCGGAACCTACGCATGGTGGAGAGAGAAGATCGTTATGCCCTCCTACAAGATGATACATATGATTCAGATGATGAAGATGGTGTAAATGTGGATACCTCTGGTCAGGCACAAGATACTAATGTTGAAGAACTTCTACGCAAGGCTCTTCAAAGGCCTGACATGTACAAGATCTGTATCTTCCGCCAAAACATCACTGGACGTACATATGCTGTCCCCCAAGACAGACAGTCAGGAGATGAAATATCCATCACGAATATGAAGCGTCGAGGACATGCCCTCAACGGTGATAAGGTTCTTGTAGAGGTCTTAGAAAATGAGGAGGAGCAAGAAGTAGAAGAAGATGATGATGCCGAAAGAGAAAGAAAGATCTATGGTAGGGTAGTAGGCATCATTGAACACAATGCCAACCTCCGGTTTCAAAAGTTTGTGTGCTACCTGGATCCTCGTAGTGATAATGTGATGGTGCCCATTGACCGTTCTTCTCCTAAGATGCTTATCCTGGGAAGAAAAAAAAGAAGTGCTTCAAAGAAAAATGCAGCTGTGGTTACACTGTTTGAGATAAAGAAAAAAAGGGTACAAACACAAAATGCATGCAGCTCTAGAAGAGATGTAGAGGTTAAACATGCAGAGAGACATCAGAAACTCTTTGTTGTTCGCTATCTCGAGTGGGCCCATATGGCTCCATATCCACTGGGAGCAGCTGTTGAAGAGTTGGAACCTGGGAATACAGAACAAAAGGGGCTTACCATCCTTCGACTTGTGTATGGCATCAAAGCTCAATGCAAGTCAGGTGCAAGAAAGCAAATGCAGCAAGATTTCCCTGAAGGATGGAGTCTTCCAGATGAAGCTGTTCAGAAAAGAGAAGATTTCCGGACGACAAAGACCATCTTCACTGTGGATCCTCCTGGGTCCACAGACTTGGACGATGCCATCAGCTGTGTCTGTCTTCCTGGACAGCGCTATGAAGTTGGTATACATATTGCAGATGTGTCCTACTTCATTCACCAGGACAGTTTCATGGATAAAGATGCCTACAAGAGGGGTACAACATTCTACCATCCATTCCAAGGTGATGCTTATCATATGCTGCCAAAGGATGTGATCTCAAGGCTTCTAAGCTTGCTCCCGGGACAGGATAGGCTAGCATTGTCAGTCATTTTCATTCTGGATCATGAAGGGCATGTCGTTGCAGAGCCTATGTTTAGAAGGTCTGTGATTCAATCATGTAAGAGACTTACCTATGAAGAGGCAGAGAAGTTGATTGTTGATAGCAACAATACTTCTAATGCATACGTGCGTGTTGCAAAACCGATCAGGTACTTATATGAGCTGTCAAGACATCGTCGTATGCAGCGATTGAAAGATGGATGGATGGTGTACAATGCTGATGACGATGATGGAGGGGCACTTTCTCATCCACGTGCCCATAGCTTAATCGAAGAGCTGATGCTGATGACCAATAATGCTGTTGCTGAACATGTTCTTACCTGGTTTCCTGAGTGTACACCACTTCGTAGGCAACTGGCCCCATCGCAAGAGAAGGTAGAGACATGGAAAGAATGTCATGAGAAGACTGCAAGAAATAGCATTCGTCTTCCTGAGCTTGTGAATCGTAATCACAATGATGCAGCGCGTGGAGACCAAGAAGTAGGCCAAGATGGAGAACATGTCCTAGTTGCTGCAGAAGTATGGCAGAAGGTCAGAGAATCCTGTGAATCACAAAATGCATCCAGAAGTCATATGGAGGATATGGCCAATCTCATACTTCAAGATGAAAACCACCCACGACATGCAGTGGCTCAGTCTCACTGCTATGACATCATGGAATCGGCAGAATACATCGACTCAACAAGCCAAACCAAGCCAGAGAAGCGAGAACACTATTCTCTGCAGATGAGAGCATATACTCACTTCACATCACCCATCAGACGTTACATTGACCTTGTTGTGCATAGGATGCTTGTTGCTTGCATAGAGAATAGCCAGTGCCCTTACACTGCTGGGGAGATGGCTGACATCACCCATCATTGCGACAAACAGAATGCCAAAAGTAAGCGCTTCAGCAAAGCCACAAAAGAGCTGAAGTTGGCTCTGAAGCTCAAGGAAGCTCCTCTTCAGGTTACAACTTTTGTGGAAGGGATCTTCGAGTCATCCATGAAATTGCTTCTCCCATATCGTGGATACATCCAATCTAGTCAGAGACAAATTCCCTTTAGTTTTCTGAAGCCGTCTGAGAAACCAGTTGTAAATGAAGCATCCCCAGATGTTCAAGTGACATGGAAGTGTCGCATGTATGACTACAGCAGGAAATGCCAAACAGAATCACCAGCCAGCACTAGATTCACATATCCTGACATTTATTTCAGAATTCCAGAGGACAAATGGCAACAGATCCTGCAATCAATCAAGAGTATGTATAGGGATGGAAACTTAGAGGAAGTTCGGACTGCCATTGAGACAGCACTGATCCATGCCCAAGGTAATGATAACCCCTTCTCACAGAGGAGAGGAAATCAGGATGGCAGGCCAGATCAGAGCAAAATGGGAATTATGAGTTTCCAAAGAAGCTACCAGCTGGGTGATCCCTGCAGGGTCCAGATGCATGCACAGATGATGAAGGGTATGCTTACTCCAAAGGTACAACTCTTCAACATGACCCCTAACTTGGATATTTGTGCAGAGCATCGATCACAACCAATTGAGTGCTTCTCAAGGATAGCCACTGAAAGTCCAGGCAGGGAGAAAAACATGAAAGCATACAAGTCAAAATGGCTTCAGATCCTGTCTATGGTCTCCAGCCACAGCGCAGTCATCAATGATGACACCATCACTCTACAGAATGTGCCAATCACATGGCAGAGAACTTCAAGCGAGGTCACAGGTCACTTTCAGTTAGACAAGAATTTCCTTGAAGTGAACCACATACAAATCGGGGAAGGCAGAGACGGAATGATCATGAACAATTATGATTACCTGTGCATACACCTGGCCAATCTTGACGTGGAAACCAAGCCTCAGCTGAAGATCAAGGGGTATGATAAGCGAGAACGTGGACATCGTGTAGGACCATTCAATGCTAAGGACTGGGAGAAGCAAACGAGTGTTCTCCACTGCAGGATATTGAAAGGCGAGAATTCTCAGGATTGTCACACATGCAAACAGCTCCGTCGTGAAAATTCAAATTCACTTCCAGTACACTTCGTAGCGCATCAGCAGTCCTTTCCACTTCCACAAGGGAGTAATGATCGTCATGTCGCAAGAACTGTGGAGTTACTTTCGATACCTGAGCCAAATAGGTAGGTTCTACTCAATGCTCAATATGAACAGATTTAGGCCATTCTTTAGCTTCATTGACGCGGTAAATCACGTTATTGTATCTTATTACACCAGGGCCGGTATTCAATTCAATACTTAGACTATATAAGAAATTACTAAGTAAATGGCTAAGCTAAGAAGTTTACTTATCTCATATTCAAATCACATTTCAGACTTTTACTTACCTTAGACAAAATCTAAGTAAAATACTTACTGATACACATTGTGACATTACACGGTCAATCAAAAGTAATGCGCGATTAAATTGTCGCAATAAATGCGCGCTAATATAATTGTGCGCAGGTTATTATACTGCGTAAGAAAACCATATGCCTGCCAATCAAGGCCTCCAAATAATTGGCTTAAGTCTGGTTGGGAGCTGTCTTAAATTTAGGGTAGAATACTTAGCCAAAAGTTTGAATTGAATACCAAAATTGGCTATCATTTTATCTAAGCCAAATACTAAGTAAAAAGCTTAAATTGTGTACTTAAGTATTGAATTGAATACGGGCCGAGGCCCATAACCAAGGGGGTGCAGGGGGTGTGTGCTCACCTCCACAGTAGCGACAAGAGGTACGCTAAAGATAAATTTAAAAAAAACAAAAAACAAGATATCCAAGGAGGAGAATGCTCAGTCTGATATAAGTAAATGAAACAATTCAACAATGCGAACAACATAGGTATAGGACACAGTTATTAGGGAGACCGTTTCAGTGTTCAAAATTGTACTTCAAACTTGATTTTCAAACAGAAAAATGCCAAAGTGTTCCCTACCCTAGGATGTGAACACCAGAAGTGGCGCTCTCGGTGGCAGGGGGCACAGTAACCCCCTTTTGTCAAGTACCCCCAAGTGCCCCTTTTTACATAGGAAGAAAATGGCCCCTTTTAGTGCACCGTTCCACATTCTTATAAGTGCTCCTTATAATCTCTAATAACTGCCCCTGTTAAAATCTGATAGGTGCCCCTTTTCCATTCTCACAAGTGATGAATGCCCCTTTTCAGGTGCAGAAGTGCCCTTTTTCACCTCTGATAAGTGTCGCTTTTATTTTGACACATCCTCCTTTTCCTTCTGATAAGTGCCACTTTTCCTTTTTTTATAGGATACCCTTTTCCTTTTAATAAATGTCTCTTTTTACCTCTGATAAATGCCCCTATTATAATCTGATATGACCTTTTTTCCTTGGACAATGCCCTGTTTCATTCGTATTTGTGTCCTTTTCCATCTCTGGTGAGTGCCTTTTTTCAGGTGCGAGAAGTGCCCCATGTTACCTTAGGTTCACCTCTGATATCGCCCTTTTTACGTTGACACTAGCTCCTTTTCTTAGAAGTGTCCTTTTCCTTTCTCAATAACATGTGCCACTTATTTACAGCAATTCTTTCTTTAATTCCCCCCAAAAGCTCGCTCGCTTCACCCGCTCACATTTATAGTTGATGTAAATATGTTACTTTTATGATTAGATTTTTGCTTAAAACCCTATCATGATTATTCTGTTTGTCTTTACAAGATTTAATTTTTTGCACTGCGACCTCACAGATCTTCAAATTTTTGATGTAAAAATAAATGCGGTTTACTGCTTCATATCTGAACAAGCCTTTAATCGCACGTATGACCCAAAACATAAACATAAGAAGTAGGAAGAGCACTTTCCATTAGTTGCATTATCCCTTATGAATATTGGTATCGTTCCTCTCTAACTTATGGGCAATCAATATAAATAGTTTATCATATTTTTCATGATTAAACTGAAAAAAATCTCTACATTAGGTATTAGTGCATCCACACAATTTTGTTAAACTATCAATATAACTTGGATGCTGGTGTGAGGAAATAAGATTTTTAGGGGGAAAATTGAAAATTCATGGTATCAATATATAAAGAAAACAATTAGTGGATAGTGAGACAATGACATCACAGACTCATGAGTGAGTTGCCAATTTGTCTTGTGATTTTCAAAGTTTTTCACGTCTTTAAAAATTCATAACTTTCTTATTAGTTATCCGACTTTGCTCAAACTTTTTTTGATCGGTTTGTCTGATTTTTCTGCTTCTATTGAAAGTAAGTTATTTTTGGAGTGGATTTGCCCTTTAATGAGTCATGTGTCTTTAATTTTCCCTCAGACGAGAAGAAGCGGCTGTAGGTGGTGTGGACTCAAAGGGGGTGCCAGTGTTGGTACAAGACATCGCCTTGCAACGTCCGAATCATCCTGATTGGCACTCGGGTAAATTTGAGGGAGTCGTAAGATATCATAATGCAAAATTAGGTTTAGGCAGTTGACTTCTGTTTATACCAGCAAGGATTATATTGTCCGTCTTAAGTTTGTTTCTGTGATTTTTGTGACCTACTTTAAAAATGAGTTACATGTTTGATGTATAATGATAACAAGAAAAACAAAAATTAAGATAATAGTAGTAATGATGATAACGATGATAATTATAATATCAATGATGATGATAAAAGTATAATAATAATTTCTTGTTAATGTGAAATCTCAAGAACCACTGAAGGTATGAACTTTAAACATGGTGATAGTATGTCATACCAGAGGTAGAGGATCTGATCAGATTTTGCAATTAATAGGTCAAAGGTCATAGAGGTCAATTTTTGATAATAAATGTTTTAGTCTTGTCATGCATTATGATAAGAAATACATTTTCAAACTTGGTGTGAGTATTTAACACCATAGGAAAACGATCTGATTAGATTTTGAGGTGAGTAGATAGAAGTGCAAAGTTCATAGAGGTCAAGATCTGAAATAACAGATTTTAGCCTGTTTACCAATATCTCAAGAACCACTGGAGGTATGAACAATGGTATATAATACCATAGGAAGAATATCTGATCAGATTTTAAGATAAGAAGATCAAGGGTCAAAGGTCATAGCAGTTGATATATTACATTGCAGATTTTTGTCTTGTTATCACAATATCTTTAATTACTACTGAAGGTTTAAGCTTCCAACCTGGTGAAAGTATGTCATACCAAAATTAAGGTAGATGATCTGATCAGAATTTGCGATAAGTGGATCAGAGGACAAAGGTCATAGCAGCCAATTTCTGAAAATAAAAGTTTTAGTCTCGTTATCGTGCAACAAACTTAGTGTGAGTGTGTATCACCATAGAAAGACAATCTGATTCTTGGGGTAAAAAAATGAAAGGTCAAAGGTCGTAACGGGTAAATTCCATGAACTATGGAGATAGATTTATCAGATTTTGAGTAAAAGAATATCAAATGTGAAATGTCAGCGAGTCGATTTGCATGAAATTTAAAGCTTTTTTATCCTTGTTATGACCAAATCAAAGGATATTTAAAGCTTTTTCAGCACTGAACTTAAAACCTGTAGTATGCATACCCGGAGGGGAACAAGTGCTCAGATTTTCATGCCAAAGGTCAAAGGTCATACAGATCAAGTGACACATGTAGCCTAAGCATCAGCTTTTTTCATTGTGATATTCAAAGACTGATTCAATCCAGGATCTTAACTGAATTTAGGCGAAGGCATTTTGAAGAAGTAGTTGCATTTGTCATTCAGAATGTATAATTTATTGATACCTATATTTTTTTTTGCTATAACTTCCATTTTTTTGGTGAAGATGATACCCTTAGAATCCTCCGCAGGGAAGCAGAGGCGTTAGGGCGCACAGACCTGCTTGTACCAGAGTCGACGCTGCATCCGTTGAACCGTCCTCAGCAAGCTGCTGTGAAGAAAGCCCTCCAAGATACATTCTCTGTCATTCAAGGCCCCCCTGGTAAGGATTTAATTGATCCATTATCTTCAATCTAACTGCCAAGCAAACATACTGCTTTCTGAATATCTAAACAAAAATATAGTCAGAATGTTAACGCTCTCACATTGTTTTTACACCCCAAGCAACTCCCTTCCCCTTTCCCAGATAAGTCACCGGACTGTAGATCGCAGGGTACAGGGTTCAAATCCAAGCCCAGTACAAACTTCATTTGGCCAGAGGTTAATGACTTTATCTGAATTTTAGAGCCACAGATTACAATTACTTTAAAAATATTTGCTACTTTAGTGTCTGTTAGAGGAGTAACAGCTCTCTGAGAACTCAAATTCAAAGCTTTGAAAATCAGAAGTTGTCCACCTACAAACAAGCTATGAACTTGATGACATCATATGGAGTATGCATATTCCCAATGACTTTGCATTAATTAATGACAGGTCATTGCCTCAGCAAAATAGGCGAGCTAATGAGGTCCACATGTTAATGCATCACTCTATTAATTTGCTTTTGTTCAATACTAAAAGGTAAAATATTTGCGCATTCCCTTATATTTGTATTCTATGTTCATTCAGCTTTTCATTCATTGGATAGGACCTTTTATCTATATTTGCCATGATTCACCTAGGTGTAAGTGGGTACCTGGTATGCTTAAATGCATTTAGTTATGTTGGTGGCTCAGCTATAAACAGCCAGGTTAATAATATATATGAGTTTTATTCAAGCCAAAAAAATGAAAAGGTTGAATTCCAACGGCATTTGAAAGATAATAATAGTTTAGAAAAAGTCTTCAAGTGGGAAAATAATGACTATTAGTTGTCGAATTGACTTAGGAGCTATAGAGCCAATAAGTAATAGTCTTGATTTTCAGACCATTGTACCGAATGGTCATACGTGTTATGCTGCGCAAAGATTTAATCAGTTTGATTTTGGCCATCACAAGAAGTGGGTTATTGATGGAAACAAATGCTCATGTACCCTTTACAGCTATTTTATGTATTTTATTACCAGAGAAGAAGAAAAAGCTAGTCAGTCACTTAATAGTGTCTGACAGTGAAGTCTAGCAAGTAAACAGATTTTCTTGCATAATTTGATTATTAGGACACTGCTAACGTTTAAATTTCACAGATACATGACATATTCATAATACCTGCAAAGTTCTACAGCATTTGAGGTTGGCTGCAAAAGGGACATAGTACCTTTAAACAAGAGAGCTTCCTTTTGCTTACCGGTAGAAGCTTTCATTTGACTCAACAATTTGTTATAACCGGTATGTGCATGAGTGTGCATTATAAACACCATTTTGCACTTTTTTTTCTTATATAAGTGAATTACACTGTGTTCATATCCATTTTCTACATGTATCCATTGTTTCCATTTTCCTAGCCATGCACACAAGATATGCAGGGCTATTTAATTGAGAGATCTTATTTTGTAGAATTTTGTAAAAAGGAGCTCTTAACCAGCGCAGCTGAATATATTTTGTATACAAGCTGTGCTATGTAAATGTATTATTATTACATGAAACTCACTAGAGATAGGTCAGGGCATGAAATTGACAATTGCTCTTAATTACTTTTCAACAAATGTTTAATGCGCAAATGAGATGGTGAATACCCTTAATTTCTTTTTGACAAAAATTGAAGGCAGATCATCACTCCATATCACAAACATTCACCTCCAAATTCTTGCAGTTATATTTCATTTTAAGCATGGGTCAGCTCAGCTCAGCGAAAGAAATATAACATTATTCTGGGAATTCCATATGTTGGTTCTTATATTTTGTTGTATTGAACTCAGAAGCATTCATAATGTGCATATATGTTGTCAATATAAACATTCCCTTTTCCCTCAAGGCACCGGAAAGACTGTAACAGGAGCTTACCTTGCATACTTCTTCACTCGTCTCAATACGCAAATACAAGCAGACAAAATGCGTCCACAGGTGCTGTACTGTGGACCTTCAAACAAATCGGTGGATGTTGTAGCAGGTTAGTTATTTTACATTTTTAGTACCAATTTTAGTCAAATAAAAGTGCAAATTCCTTTTTCCTGATGATGAACAATTAAATCAGGAATGTAGATGTATTTCTTTCCCAAACAATTTAATTCTGCTTTGCCAAACTAATTGAATCGTGCTTTCATCATCCCATGATAGAAGTAAAGTGTCCTTGATCTTCTTTAAAAATAACTTATCAGGCAGATTTCTGTTACATACACCAGAACTAAATCTTGTTGGTGTTCCACATGGTTCTGTATTGGTCCAATATTATTCACTTGCATAGTGACAGCTTACAAAATTCCGTCACAATTTGAGTTTTTTTTTTTCACCAATAGGAATTATTATTTCATTTATAAACCATAGCAATTAAAAACTGACAGTTGACTAATTATGACACTAGTTGTGGGTTGCCAATATCAGTGAGAGGGACATTAGGATCCTGCTACGTACAGCACACTCATTCAGAACATGCTCAACAGTCTGAATTTGACCACATGAACCCAAGTCAAGTCTTTGAGACCCCAGAGCTTCATGCTTGCTGCAAAGTAACCTGTGCCTGATCGTAGGCGGTTCAGCTGAACCCAGGGCTTCCTGGGAAGGTCGCTTCCAGGAGGGTGAGAGGACCAAGCTTAAAGTTGCTCAAGCTTGGGTATATAGACGGCAGCACACTTGAGCCAACAGGTATTACGCTCATGTGCGTACTAGTGTCCCTTTGTACGTACATCCGTACGGGAACGTAATAACTGTTGGCTCAGTCTTCCCCAAGTTGCCTACTTCACAAACGAATATACACCCAAGCTTGAGCATCTTTAATAATATGGTTTGAGCTTCTCAGGGATAGCTGGTTCTGAAGCACCAGCTACCTGAAGGTTCTCAACACTAATGAGTCTATTTGTTATTATATGTAAAACTGTCTCATTTATATACAAACACATGTATGGCCAAGAAGAAAGTTTCTTGGAAGATTTGTCCAGATTTGCTGAACTTCCACTTCATTAGAGTTCCAAATGTAAGTCTAAACTGCTCTGTAATCTTGTTTATTCTATCATTTCATAACCTTGCCCTAGCTTATCTCAAGAAGTTCCAAAACATCTCCATTGTGCGAGTCTACAGTGAGCAAATCGAGCGTAAGGAGTACCCCATCCCTGGCGTTCCAGGACTTATATCTAAGTGGTCCAGGAAAGAAGTCTCTATGTCAGAGGGGCTATCAGACATTGCGCTTCATCGCTTGATCAGGATGCGTGGGAAGCCGCATGCAGAACAGTTAGCTGCAGATGAGAGGAGATTTCGCACTGACCCAGATGGAATACAACTTAAGGACATCAAGCGCTACAAAAACACTATTTTTGAGGCCACGGTGAGTGTTTATTTTAAAGAAAGAGTAATTGCACAAAGTTGTGTAATAAATGGACATGGGTGTTCTAAATAGACACAAAAGATCAGAATTTAGGTTAAGTGTAATTTGTGTCATTTATCTAATATACATTTTTCTTTCTTAGAAAATTTGCTGCTATGTAATGAATAATCTTAAAGGATGCCATGCAATCAACAAAAATTATTTACTCTGTATGTTAGTGGTTCCTTGTCATTATACTACACATACATGTATATTCAAATTGTTAGCTTCAAATATAACTTCTTTAAAGGGATATTGCAAATTTCGATTTACTCCAAATAGATATGAAATAGACCTGTGAATAGAATAGAATCAGGCTCTTTAACCATAAGCCCATGGAATGCCTTGATTAAAAAACGATTATTGGTACCTTTTGAGATATATACTTTGTTTCCCTCACTGCAGAAAAAAGAACTGAAGAACCATCACATAGTCCTGTGTACCTGTAGTTCCGCTGGAGCGGGTCGCATCTCAAGATTCACCCGTATTATCCAGGTGATTGTTGATGAGGCTGGGATGTGCAGCGAGCCAGAAACTTTGATCCCTCTGGTTTCAGTCAAACCCAAACAAGTGGTACTGGTCGGAGATCATAAACAACTCAGGTAGAGTGATAAACCCTTGTTTACTTTTCAAGAAGGAGGGTAAAAGTACAAATTACTATTCATATGTTGATATGTAGCAAGAAAAATACATTTTTCCCCCACAATTTGTCAACAAATTACAAATCAAGAAATTCATTATTTGGGATTTTGGGCAACTCTGAGTGAACTTTGTGTACACCAATTTTTATTCAGGAATATTTAGAAATCTAATCACAAATCACTTTTATTCTTTTATGAGTCCTATTGTGTATTTAAACTTGCACACTCACTTTACAATAGTACATTTTAATGCAAAGAAGATAAAAACATGCAATATTTGTCAATAGAAGTTATTGAAGTTATATTTTGAATACAAATAGGATACAAATATGCTGTTTTGGGCAATACTGGTAGAAGTTAGTGAATTTCAGAACTTCAGGCTGAAATATACTGTTTGTACCTAATAAACGGAGGTCTGAATTTTGAGCCCAAATGTTTTTGATTGAAGAGATGTACATGTACATGCAACACACTTTTGAAATATCAATATACTGAATTTACGATAGTTTAATTTTATTTTTATCAACAGTATTATTTGATTCTGATGCATTGAATGTAGTAGCTAGGATACTAGCATGGAACCGTAAACATAAAAGGAAAAAAAATACTTTGATAGATCTCATACTTTAATGTAAGTCCCTTTTAATATGTTAATGTGTGAGAGAAATTGGAAGGCTCTGTTTTGGATTTTGTCATCAGTTTTCGTTCTCCAATAAAGATATAAATGTTTGTGTTGATGGACAATGAAAATGCAGTTGAGCTAATTTATTCTCAGTCAACTGTATTGCCATAATACGTCTTTGATACTGACAGGTCAATAATCACAGAGCCCAATGCTAGGCAGCTTGGAATGGATATCTCACTGCTAGAAAAATACAAGGACAAAGCCGAGATGCTTACCATCCAGTACAGAATGGTGAGTGTGAAATAGAAAAAACAACACCATGTGCTAATAGTGGTGGTGATGATGATAATGATGATGGTGATGATGATGAGCACTGCTGCTGCTGATGCTGATGATGAGTATAATAATGATGAAAATGATGAAGGGGATGATGATAATGTTGATGATTGTGATGATGATGATGATGATGATGATAATTATGATGATGGTGATGACGATGAGCACTGCTGCTGCTGTTGCTGATGATGAGTATAATAATGATGGAAATGATGAAGGGGATGATGATAATGTTGATGATTGTGATGATGATGATGATGATGATGATGATGATGGTGGTTATGGGGGTGATGATGATGATGATGATGGTTATGGGGGTGATGATGATGATGGTGGTGATGATGAAAATAATGAAGGGGATGATGATAATGTTGATGATTGTGATGATGATGATAATGATGATGATATTATTGATGATAGTGATGATGATGATAATGATGATGGTGGTGATGATCATGATGATGATGGTGGTGGTGGTGATGATATTGATGATTATGGTTTGTGATGATGGTGATGATGATGACGATAATGTTGATGGTAGTGATGATCATGATGATGATGGTGGTGATGATAAGGATGATTATGGTTGTGATGGCGATGATGATGATATTGATGATGGTGATGATGATATTGATGATGATATTGATGATGATATTGATGATGATGATGATGATGATATTGATGATAATGATAATGATGGTGAAGATGATGATGCTGATGGTGGTGATGATAATGATATTGATGATGGTGATGATAATAATGATGATGATGATGATGATGGTGATGATAATGATGACGGTGATGATTTTTGCAGTACCGTAAATTTATGTTAAGAATGCAGGAAGGTCAGACTATAACTAATGTTGCTTGCTAGTGCCTATTCTATATTAAAAGTGCTTGGAGATGATATTCCATATTACACGCTGTATAAATCAAGATTAATTAGTAGTATATATATATATTATTTAATTGTGTTTGGAGATCCTAGTTTGAGGAAACCCAGTGTTAAAGTTATGTTCATATATAATAGATAAGTCTCCCTTCCCACTGTTTGAAAAGCAATATACTGCAAATATTTCAAAGAACATGTCTCCATTCATTGATATACACTGACGTATATGGAGATATTTGTGACTTCCCTTCTTGGCACTTTATCTTGAAGTTCTTAATTGTTTATTCTTTCCTCCTCTTGTACAGCACAAGCGGATATGTGAATTCCCATCCTTGACGTTCTATGATGATAGACTGAGGACGGCAGAATCTGTATTGCAGCGTGGCCCTGACCCCATCCGCAGTTTCTGGCCCAACAATGGTGGGACGCCTAGAGTCTTCTGCCATGTGAGTGGGCAGGAGGAGACCCTCTCAGTGAAGTCGGAAGATGGCAGCGAGCAGTCAAAGAGTAACGGTGCTGAGATCAGACATGTGGTATGGACAAATTAACTTTAACTGTATGCTTTCACAAGGTGATGCTGGATGCATCATGGTTAAAGATAAAGACCAGTTATGCGATTGCATTGTGAAAGAAACGTTGTGGAATCCATCAGAAAAGGTTGATCATCTAGCATATAAGTATTATAGATATAATAATTTACCAAATATATCAATTAGTAGGCGGTTTCTCGGCAAAATTTGTATCATCATGTACTAGTCAAAACATATTCTTTCACGTGACTGGTAATAAGAGCTTCCATTTCATTTTTTGAGAGGGGGGCGTTTCCAAAACTGGTCTTTACCTTTAAGGTTGAGGCTCTAGCCATTCATACTGTAAGTGCATACATTATCTTTCAAACTTGGGTGAACTGACATTTGCTCCATCAACATTTCTGGTGTTTTTTGTTGTCAAAGTTATATAGGGTGAGGGCTGTCAATTTTTTTTCTAGAGGAAGGGGGGGGGGGGGGGGTAGGGTTATTTATAGTATTTGGTCCAGATTTAAAGTAAAAAATTCAGTTAGTATTGGAAAATGACAGCGCAGCAAGTGTTGCTGGAGCTGCATATTAATCTTAGACTAAGTGATCTGTATTTCCAATACTATTTTGCCAAAGCAAGTTACCTTCTATGGGCATGCATTTCCATGGAAAATGTTAATTCCCTCAAATCAAAAACCTGTTCTTGTATTTGTAAGCCTGACCAAGGTACACGTACATGTAGTAGGACTTTTCATGGATGGTCATCATCATGTACAAATGAAGATGATATGAAATATGTACATGCATTAATACCCTTATCTCACCTGGACATGTTTTTTGTGTGCCATAGGGTTTTGCTCATGAGTGAAATTGTTTGTTTATATCGTCTCTTCCCCCCCCCCTGCTCCCCTAATCTGAAACCCCCACAGATGAGAATCGTCCGAGAGATGATCAGCAGAAGGGTGTCACCAGAGAAGATCATCGTCCTGTCTCAGTATCGCCTCCAGTGTGCACAGATTGAAGAAAGGCTTCGAAGTGACAGAAATCCATCTCTCCAACAGATCAAAGTTAGCACTGTGGTCAAAAGTCAAGGTACAGTTTAATAATAATAATACTAACAAAACTTTTTTTTAATATTTAGTACTGTCTCTAAGTGCTTTATTTTGTTTCAATAATTGTGTATCCTTATGTATCATGTTGTGACTTTTTGGTAACCTGTTCCGTCTTCAGAATGTGTTCATGATAAGTCAATCTATTCATGCTTATACATATACAGTAACTTGGGGATGTAGGGTACCAGTAGTTTTTTGTTTTTTCTCAGAATGTTTCCTGCAGACTATCAGTCAGGAAACACACCTCCTAGGACAATCTATCCCAGGACAAATACCTCCTAAGATAATCTGGCCCAGGACAAATACATCCTAGGACAATCTATCCCAGGATAAATACCTCCCAGGACAATCTATCCCAGGACAAATACATCCTAGGACAATCTATCCCAGGACAAATACCTCCTAGGACAATCTATCCCAGGACAAATACCTCCTAGGACAATCTATCCCAGGACAAATACCTCCTAGGACAATCTATCCCAGGACAAATACCTCCTAGGATAATATATCCCAGGATAAATTTGATTTGATTTATTTATTTCTGTTTGATTCTTTTTCTTTTGCATTTTTACAAATATATAACAAACAAATGTTGCAAATTTACACATGACAAAAGAATATAATTATGTAGAATAAAGTAAGGCTGGGTGTAACTAATCGATCCTAGGACAATCTATCCCAGGATAAATACCTCCTAGAACAATCTATCCCAGGACAAATACATCCTAGGACAATCTATTCCAGGACAAATACCTCCTAGGACAATATATCCCAGGACAAATACCTCCTAGGACAATCTATCCAAGGACAAATACCTCCTAGGACAATCTATCCCAGGACAAATACCTCCTAGGATAATATATCCCAGGATAAATACCTCCTAGGACAATCTATCCCAGGACAAAGACCCCCTAGGACAATCTATACCAAGACAAATACCTCCTAGGACAATCTATCCCAGGACAAATACCTCCTAAGATAATCTGGCCCAGGACAAATACATCCTAGGACAATCTATCCCAGGATAAATACCTCCCAGGACAATCTATCCCAGGACAAATACATCCTAGGACAATCTATCCCAGGACAAATACCTCCTAGGACAATCTATCCCAGGACAAATACCTCCTAGGACAATCTATCCCAGGACAAATACCTCCTAGGACAATCTATCCCAGGACAAATACCTCCTAGGATAATATATCCCAGGATAAATTTGATTTGATTTATTTATTTCTGTTTGATTTTCTTTTTCTTTTGCATTTTTACAAATATATAACAAACAAATGTTGCAAATTTACACATGACAAAAGAATATAATTATGTAGAATAAAGTAAGGCTGGGTGTAACTAATCGATCCTAGGACAATCTATCCCAGGATAAATACCTCCTAGAACAATCTATTTCAGGACAAATACATCCTAGGACAATCTATTCCAGGACAAATACCTCCTAGGACAATATATCCCAGGACAAATACCTCCTAGGACAATCTATCCAAGGACAAATACCTCCTAGGACAATCTATCCCAGGACAAATACCTCCTAGGATAATATATCCAGGATAAATACCTCCTAGGACAATCTATCCCAGGACAAAGACCCCTAGGACAATCTATACCAAGACAAATACCTCCTAGGACAATCTATCCCAGGACAAATACCTCCTAGGATAATCTATCCCAGGACAAATACCCCTAGGACAATCTATACCAGGACAAATACCTCCTAAGACAATCTATTCCAGGACAAATACCTCCTAGGATAATCTATCCCAGGACAAATACCCCCTAGGACAACCTCTCCGAGGACAAAACCTTCTAGGACAAGCTCATACACAAATGCTACCCACTTGTGTCCATCAACCTCTGGAATGGACCCTAATAGCGTATCGCACATTTTCTGAAATGACCCTTTTAAGAAAAAATTGAAACCTTTGAACCTGAAAAGGTACACTTTTTTGGTTTTTGTGCGATCAGTGCTTGAGAAACCCCTTTTTTAAGGAAAATGTAGATGACTCTGAACTTGTGAATCTGTTAAGGTACCGGTTTTTGGTTTTTGTGCGATCAGTGCTTGAAAAACACCTTTTTAAGGAAAAACGTTGACGCCGCCGTTTAGCTGAAAAGACACCTTTTCAATGCTTATTCTACCCTCTAGGATAGTTGTCCGGTAAGTAGTTGTCCTAGAGTATCGTTGTCGTAGGGGGTTAGTTGTCCTAGGGGTAGTTGTCCCGGTGATAGGCATCCTAGAGGGTGGTTGCTCTAGGGGGTAGTTGTCCTAGGGGGTAGTTGACTGGGGGTGGTTAAATGGGCAGGGGGGGGATGTCCAGGGGGGTAGGTGTCCTAGAACCAGAACATGTCCTGCTCTTTTTTTTTTTAAGAAATCAAAATAGCTAATTGCTCTGTTTTAAAGTGATTGGACTAAAACACTACAAGACAAGACTTCAAAAAAAAATCCAAATCCAAAAGACATATAGGTCTACAAAATACTGCAAAAATACCACATTGTTTTGTACTTCAAAATGTTGAAATTACAGAAAAAAAAAATTGTATACTCTTTCAGGAAATACTGGAACTTAACTCTTATCCTGCCATAATTAATACAGCCCAGGGCTAATCCCCATTGTGCCAAGTTTATTTTTGGATACTATGATGCACACAATGGTACGATCAATAGCGTGTGTGAAGCGCTCAGCACAGTACAATGAGCATGAACAATTTGCGAATGCGAGCAAGCATGCATGAAGCAGCGAAGTGGTGACTCGCTCGAGTGAATTAAGCAGCAATCGATAGTGCGCTTGTGTGTACAAAGCACTATAAAGGTAGCGTGCATGCAGCCTTATGCGACCAAATACACCTTTATTGTGCTGGAAACAACACTCTGCTACTTTTTGTTGGTTTTATGGTGTGCGATCACATTTGGAATAAGTGTTTTTTAAGGGCAGACTTAATTTATCTATTGTATTGATGATTCTAAGATAGTTGTGGAGGCTATTCCATAAAACTGGGCAGCATGGGTAAATGAACGTTCTCCACTTGTATTTGTCAGAATAAGAGAAACATTAGATAACTTCTTTTGACATGGTTGAAGAGCTCTTGTTGGTCTGTATGCACTGAGTAATTCATTTAAATACCAGGGAGCTAGTCCATTAAACATTCATACAGAAATAAAAGTATATATGATGTAAGACTAGATTGGTAACCAATGTATATACATGAGAATAATTGACCATAACCAACCATACATTTGTTGTGTCAGAAATATCAAATTACCCTTGAAAGCTACCGAAGGCTTTTCACTTACTAGTGAAAGGGAAGTGAGGATGAAAAAAAAGGTAGCTGCATGCAAGAACTCCTATGTGTACTCACTTATCTGTGTGCTATAAGATTCAGAAATGTAAAGCACAGGCAGTGAGCATTATGTTAACGAGCCTTGGGGGGGGGGGGGGGTAATTCTGGGTAAATTGTTCAGGGGCTGATAGCTATAAGTAGAGGGGGTGGTTGTTAGAGAATAGGTATGTGTATATAGTTATGTTGACAATAAAAGTTTGTTTTCAAACTCATTTGTTTACAGGGAGTGAGTGGGACTATGTTGTCCTCTCAACCGTGCGCTCCAAACCTCGGATTGAGATTGAAGAAAAGCCAAGCAAAGCCTGGCAGAGGAAACATCTTGGATTCATCAACGACGAGAACCAGATGAATGTTGCCTTGACAAGGGCCAAGCAAGGGCTTATCATCGTCGGTAAGCTTTGAAATATTTCATGGAGTGGTTGACAGTAGCCATTAAGGTAGCCTTTTGAGACCCACCATTATTCAGAGAGTGCAAGTTTAAAAAAAATTATTTATTTTTAAACAGAATACATGTTTAACTAAAGATCGGGTCGATCATTCTGTATGTTCTTGCAGAATCGTTTAACCTCTTGAACAGTCTTGGTCTCTTCTCAAGTGTTTTGATACAAAAGTATTTTTTAAACAATGCTACTTAAATGGAAAACACAATGTATGATACACTGATAGACTATATAGGTAAGTATGGTTCAGTTTAAGAATCCTTTTTTAAATGAGCATCTAGAAAATCTTAAGTTTTGGATGAAAAAATATACTTAGAAGGTCACTTAAAACACTGAGGAGTACAGGTGCGTCTTTGAAATTATGTCTCAGCAACATGTATGTCTCCAAAAATATGGCTGGCATGGATAAAAAGATTAACACTGCTTGTGGATTTGTCGAAATTGCAGCCTTGGTTGAATTAAGTTAAAGATTCCAGAGCTACGGAAAACACCACAAATTAAAACAAATGTTAACATGCACGTGTATTGAAATACACTATAGCTTCATGACTCTCTTTTAGGTACGTCAAACTAACATTGATTGTATTGGGGGTTATATTTTCTAGTTTTTATTCTTCTTCTATTGTTTTCTAGAGTAGTCCTAATTGTACCCAACGCTTGTGTACTGTAGAAAAAGTATTATTTTGGTATTTCTTACACTAATTGACCTCTTGTAAACGAACATTTCTTTCTTTGTTCAAATCAGGTAACCAGTACCTACTGCGATGTCACAATAAATGGAGGGAAATGCTAAAGATGTATGAAGAGACTCACTGCCTTGTTGGAGCTCAGGACTTCCTTGCTTGACATCGCTGAAATAAGCCTGTCTATCAAATTGAACTAACTGTATCTGAATGTATGGAGAAATAAAACAATAGTCTATTGATCACTTGGGGGGAAAGAAAGGAAGATATCCCAATCGGTATTTTTATGCTTAGCCTGTGAAGCATGTGATGGTGTAAATGTAAGACTGTATATTTGATATATAAATGCATTCTTTATTATCCCCTCGCCGACGAAGTCGGAGGAGATATAGTAACCATGTCGTCCGTCCTTCCTTACGTACATGTACGTGCGTGCGTCCATCCGTGCGTCTGTTCGTAACAATTTGGTTTCTGATCGATAACTTCAGTAATGAAATTTGATATAAAGGTACATGGTATCAAAAAACAGCCTAAGTTCGATTTTGGAGTATATAGGTCAAAGGTCGTAGTTCATTAAATATGCGAATCTGGTTTCCATTTGATAACTTGAGTTGACAAATTGACAAATTTTGATAAAATTTAATATGAAGGTACATGTTATAAAAATACATGTGCAGCCTAAGTTTGATTTCTGAGTATGTAGGTAAAAGGTGAAACGTTATAGCTCATTAAATATGCAAAAACACCTAATTATATATGTGGAAATGTGGTTAACTTCCTTGCCTAGTAATATAATAGTATAGTCCAATAGAGGTTACTTGTTCTGACGTACATGTATATAGGCCATTTGTACCCTGCGAGGGGATGCTACGCTTTGCGTTTAATTGTTTCCTTTTCTCTCCAGATTACATTTGGTTGAGTCTTTCACGAAGGGATCGACAGGAGACTTAGGTTTTCACGATGCCACTCCTGACACCACATTATGAGTCTAGTTAGAGAATCTGGTTTCATGTGTGTATCCTGCAAGATACAATGCCTGGCATATTTTCGTGCACGGCATCTATATACGAGCTGAGCATGTGACTCGATCACTGGGTGCAATCATTAGTAGGTCCATGGTGCAATATAGCATGAATGCTAGTCTGTAATTGCAGACCTTTTTATCAAAATGGACACGCAAAGAAGCATTATTTCTTATTCTACAGTAAGTTATTAGTGGCAAAATTCCCAAAATACAAAGGTTACATTAAATGTGTTGAATGTTATTGATTATACTATGGGAAGGGTGAGTGCTATGAAATTCAGGTGAAATAAAAACATGGAATTAAATGCTGGATTAGTAAATATAGAGCTTACTGTTGCATCAGTATGTGTTGATTTATGTAAAACCATTTTAAACATAATGGGAACATAATAATGTTCAGACAATAGAATGTTGTTACCAAATGTATTGTTAATTACATGTACGTAAATATTGTAAGTATAAGAAACATTGTAAATAATACTCTCTCATAGTTTTACCTGTTATTTTGGTGTGTATACTGATGCTTAGACTATGATATTACTGTGTCCATGGTTTTTCCCACGTTGATACAGTCTATTTAATGTGTAGATCGATGTTATCTTAAAGTCTTCTGTCAATTCAATGTTTTCTAGCATCTTTTATTAATTATATGTCATGGAAATTAATGGTACATTTTATAGCCCTTATACATACATGTAACTATTTTTCTATTATAGGCCACATTTTTTTCACATACACTTGTTAAAGTATGATATGTATTTATATATTTTTGTATGTATGTATGTATGTATACATATATTATATACATGTATATACATATTCTTTAAACCAAATGAAATAAGTTTTAGTCAGGCTTAAAATATGAACCATGCAGCTGCTATGATGATGGACATCTGTCAATCAGTGTAAAGGAAATAGTTTTCTGTTTGTGGATGCTCTTTTACGATTTGGTGTGATAAAAGTGTGATGTTCTGAGAGTTATGTTAAAGTATTTTTTGGGTTATACATGTTGTACTAGAGCTCTTCTTGAGCTTACCAGAGCCTTATTGTAAGCCTCCAGAGCTAAATTGCTCACCCATTTGTGTGTGTTTTGCCTTTCTGTCCACAAATAGTCACTATCAAATACTATCTGAATATTTTTTTAAGAGACTAGCTGAGAAAACCGTCCCTCACCCTAAGGAAAGAAACAGAGATAGGGGATGTTTCATATAATAATAATAATATATTCATTTGTAAAGTGCAATAACTATGTGGAAATATTCTACGTGGCTGCAAGACCTCATTAATGCTGTGCTATACGTATCACATAAACAAGCAAGTTTTTAGTCTTAATTACAATTTTTCTAGTGATGGAGCTTTCCTTATTTCTATTGGTAATCTATTCCATAATCTAGGGGCAGCACAATGATAATGATAATAATAGAGGAGTCTTATAGCGTTCATGTCTGGCACATTGCCGCTCCTAGCTGGCTCTCCATTATCATTGCTTTGGCTTTGCTCAATTACTGCCGTTACGGCGCTCAAGCATTTCAAGGAACTAATTCCTGCCAGGTGCCCAGTTACCTCACCTGCGTTGAGTATGGCAATTGTAGATGAATGTCTTAATTGCCAAAGTACATTGGTGCTGTGACAGGGATTTGAACCCTTTACCTTGTGGTTCACAGTCGGGAGACGCATCCAATGGACCACAACACCTCTACATGTTAGAAATCTAAATGTTTGTTGTACAAAGAATAGAAGCATATATAATGTATACATGTTAGATATTATTGCACAAGCTGCTCAGTTAATGTTAGCTTCACTGATTCATGACCGTAAACATGTTTACGGTCATGAATCAGTGAAAATATTTCTAATTACAATTTGCACTTGTACCCTCTATAGTGAATGTATCATGATAAAGATGATGTTTGTATGGCACTTTCACTCAATGCCTCTGTTTTTGAGGATTTTATACATAAATCTAATTATCAATACCCAATCATTGGATTCAAGTGCAAGAATGATTGGAATATATATATTGCATATCCCATTGGGAATTAGACTCGGGTTGGATTCGTGATGGAGAGTTTTTGCAGTATTTGTAGTTTTTGCAGGTACAACGAAAGATCGACGCAAATTGTATACATGTATATATATAAATTCTGAAATTAAATGAGAGTATAAAAGTTGTGTAGCTTAAATCAAAGTTCCACATTGCTGTCCTCCCTTTCCGAGTTTGTTTGCAAAGGTTGCAAAATGTCTCCCCTTGGAATTGAACCCGAGTCTATATACATGTATATGAGAAAGTGATATATTTTTCTACTTGAAGATGTTCACTCCTTTGATGACAAATGAAAGAAATCGGTGTGAGTTTATATTCTTGTTAGTTTTTGGCAATTAATGCCTAAATCATAGATATTTGGTCATTTTATCATTGATTATATTATGAAAGTACAGTTGTATATCTTATTTGATCAAAATATATATGAATCTATAATTTTTTAATTCAAATGTATTTTTGTAAATTTTGAGACGATTGTGATATTGTGATACATTAAACTCTTTAAAAAATAAAGGCTTATCATCAATTTTGCTCAGTATATTTGCAAAAATATTTGTTATGATGAAAACTAAAAAAAAACGTTTCAGGGTATTTTGTTCTTTTCCCCATATTGGGGGGGGGGGGGGGGGGTGAACTGGGACACTTTATCCCACCTGCAATTTTGAGTACATTTGGTTTGTCAGGGTAAGTTAATAATATGAATTTCAACAAGTCATAAATGGCTTACTTGGAAATCATTTTAGCCACACTTCATTAAGACGATAATTGACGTTATATATTAATATACTGTGAAATTCAAAGATGTAAGATGGTAATATGTAACGTAGGCCAACCTTGTATCTGATTCCCCCCTTTTAGCTACTCCTTGAATAATAATAATATGTTCTAAATTTTCGATTTCTTTTTCAAGAAATTCTCTTTTCTCTTCGGATCAATGGCTCATCTCTTAGAAAAGGCTTACCTAAATCTCTTTTTTTTTCTTTTCGTAAAGTACAAGAGCATCTCTCCTATCTTTAATTTCTAAATTCTATTTCTCCTTTAAAGGTAAAGACCAGTATTGGAAACGCCCCACTAAATTTCAAAAAATGAAATGGCAGCTCTTTATTACCAATCGTGTGAAAGAATATGTTTTGACTAATACATGATGATAAAAAATTTGCCGGGAAACCGCCTACTTATTGATATATTTGGTAAATTAGTCTATTGGACTGTGAGAGATAAACGCAGGTGTCGCGCACTTTTTTTTTTTTTTTGGAGTAAAAAAAAATCGCAACGACTCAGCCAGCCGAAAAGTCGCTCAGTGGGGGGGGGGGGGGGGGGGGGGGGGGGGGGGGGGGGGGGGGGGGGTAAGCGGGGGGGGGGGGGGGTTTTTTTGGAGTCCAAAAAAATTGCAACGACTCAGCCAGCCGAAAAAAGTCGCTCAGTGGGGGGGGTGGGGGGGGTGGGGGTAAGTGGACCCTTTTTTTTGGTCTCGAAATTTGAAAAATTGACATTTTTCTTCGTTGGGGGGGGGGGGGGGTAAGGTCACCTTTTTTAGGTTAGCCGTGGGCATATTTTTTTTTTTTTTTTTTTTTTTTTTTTTTTTTTTTTTAATTAAAGGGGGGGGGGGGGGGGGTAAGCGGACACTTTTTTTTCTTTTTTTTTTGGTCTCGAAATTTGAAAATTTGACATTTTTTCTTCGTTGGGGGGGGGGGTAAGGTCACCTTTTTTAGGTTAGCCGTGGGCATATTTTTTTTTTATTTTTTTTATTATAAAAAAAAAAAAAAAAAAAAAAATCCAAAGGGGGGGGTTTGAACCCCCAAACCCCCCCCTGCGTACGCCCCTGGTACACACCAATACTTGTATGCTAGATGATCAACCTTTTCTGATCGATTCCACAACGTTTGTTTCACAATGAAATCGCAGACCATAACTGGTCTTTATCTTTAATCGGATTATCCATCTTTTGCCTGTTTAACATATTCTCCGGCATAAAGACTGTTTTCAAATTTCTATATTAAGAGCATTCTACTTTCTATTTTAATATTGCCGAGTGGTGGGTGCTAAAGAAAATAATAGGGACTTTTAGATTTGCGTGGAAGGCACGGGGAGGGGGGGGGGCACGGGGGGGGGGGGCACGTTGCCCCCCAAAATTTCCAAGATCGGTTGAACTTTTTTGACCTCGATCGATTACATGTATGTGCCCCCCCCCAAAAAAAAAAAAAAAAAACAAAACAAACAAACAAAAAAAACATCAAACTCTAGCTACGTGCCTGCTCTTCATCCCTCATCGGAAAATGTGTGTTACATATAATAAAACAAATTACCGGTTCTCCGGTAAATTTCAAATATTTCGAATAGCACCTAAGGCCATTCCATTGTAGCTGCGACCATGAAAATCTCAGAATATGCAGTCCTGATATATAATTCCCAAACAGGAATAGGAAATTGGTTCGATTGTCAAACAACATTGTTTTTAAAACTAAAAGTAATGTCAGTCTTGAGAAGGCGTTATACAACATAAAGAGTTAACAATTTCATCACTTTAATAGACTCGATTTCAACCACGACAACGATCATTGAATATTGTTAAAATCGCATAAAGTTCATTTAAACCAAATTCATGACCCAATACCAAACTATTGCTGACGCCAATGAGTCCGCGACCCCC